TGCTGAGGCTGCCAAGAATGGTAACAGGATCTAAAGTTTAATCGGACTCATGTCCTAAGGCAGCTTTGTAAACTCAGAGGCACAAGGGTTCAGGCAGCTTCCCTGCCATAGCCAGACAGGACACCAGGAAGTGATGGGTCAGCGGTGGCACCCCGGTCCCATGTAGGGTATCAGATCGGCTGCATGTAGGAACATGAGCCTGATGTTGACAAAGCTTGTCCATCAAAAGAAATCCAATTTTTATGTGAATTTTCCCAATTTTTAAGACACAAGGTGGGCTAGAAAAAACTCACGTGTGGGAATGTACCAAGGAGACTGTGTGAGACAAATCCTCGGACGGAAGAGAAACCACAGGCACACACATAGTAGGAGGCTTCAGCCCAGGGCAGGAAGATGGAACTGCCCCCCACCCAACACCATCAGGCCACAGGCAGGAGAGCTCTACCTTCAGCTCCAGGTCGGTGTAAATCTGTGGCCTCAGCAGGCTGAGAAGGTAGGATGCTCGGGAAAACTTAAACCCTGAAACCGAATAAGATGAAGACAGTCACCAGTGGTCACCCCCTGCCACCCTCACACCACCTCTCAGGGCTCACCTGGGATGATCTCCTCAGTGACAGCTGCACCCCCGATCACATGGCGTCTCTCCAAGACGGCTGTGTTCACCCCCAGTCTCTGCAGGTAGGCGGCCTGTGGGGGCGGGGGATGGGCACACGGGGCCCTCCCTTTATCCCTGGAGGCCAACCTGCAGTCTCAGGCTCCTCGCTACGGGGCCAGCTTGCCATGCCTCGGCTCCTGCTGTTCCCCGCTCTGAGAATGCTGTTCCCCGCTCTGAGAATGCTGTTCTCCTTGCTTCCTAAAGCCATACTTACCCAATTGTCTTCTGAGATGAAACATGACTGTTCCTGCCCTTCCACTTCCCAGCAGAAGGTGACCACCCTTCCTGCCAGGCCCAGGTGACTCTGTGAACTCAGGCCCATCTCCTCCAAGCGGGGGCGCGCCTCGTCCCTCCTCACAAGCCCTGAGAGGCGGCACAGCGAGCTTGCGTGTGCGCGCTGAGCTAGACTGCCAGCTTCTCCTCCTCTTTCTCCGCCTGGGCGCCTGCTCCACCTGGCCTCTGTTTCCCCATGGGCGAAAATAGGGCTGATCATAATAATACCCACTTTGCCTGCTTTGCAGGGCTGCTATGAGCTGGTTCTCCGGCACACGGAACATGCTCAATAAACGAAGCTATGGTTATAACACAGTTTTATTCGGGGGAACAAATGATGCAGGAGTTTTACTATGTTTTTTCTCTAGCACTTAGTGGGAAATCAATAAATATTTCTTGAATTAAACTAGTCTTGAGTCTACAGATCTAAAATGCTGGTCTACCCACCGCCACCACCACCAGGGTGACAGTGGGGATGGTGCTGTTCAGAATTCAGACTTTTAAAAAGTTCACATGGCAACTACTATGTGCCAGACACCAGAGCGGATCATCTCATTTAATTGAGCCCAGCAACCTTGAGGTAGGCACTATAATTCTTCCCATTTCACAGATGAGGAAACTGAGGCTCAGTGAGGTAAATAGTCTCCTCAGACACACAGAGCTGATGAGTAGAGGTGTTGGGAATGGAACCCAGATGGTCTGGACCCAGAATCTATACTCCTGACATATCCTGATGAGAAAGGAAAACGAGCAACCCCGACTCTGGGGAGCTGGCCTGGCCCTCGGAGGTGAGCCGTGTTGTTCTCCTGTTAGAATGAACACCTCGGACCAGGGGCGTCTGAGAACATCTAGACTGGGACAGAGCAAGCCCCCTTTGCAATTTTGTCTAAGCACAAATGCAAACAGGATCTTTGGGCCACCAGCAAAATGCCAAACACTCCCTCTCTGGGCCGAGTGACTCCCGCTTCTTCACCAGCTGCCACTCTCCTCACACCAGTCTCCCCTCCCTATAGACGAGATTTATCAAGATGCCCAGCCACAGGGTTGTGCCACTTCCTGACAGTGTCCAGCCCAGAGCAAACCCTACCTGCTTCCTCAGACTCTCCCTCAAATTATCTGACCAAAGTGAAAATCCAAGAATTGGTTCCTCCTCACACCCTCTCACTGAGCCACCCCAGGGTTGCCGTGGTGTGCATTTTTTTTGTTGTTGTTGCAAGGAGCCGCCAACCAAATCGGTTGGGGGGTGGTGCCCAGGTGGGCCTCTCGCTGGGGCTGGAAACCTCCAGCCATGAGTCCCCATTCGTGTGAGGCTGCATGTGCCCGAACTGTGAAGCACATCACCTCTTCCCTTCCCAACGACTCTGAGGATGGACGTCTTTAGTCTGATTTTACTGTGGCTCAGAGAGCCTAAGTGACTTGCCTTACCCTTCACAGACAGAAGGTAGCAGAGTTGGGAGACAAACCCAGGTTTATATTAATATAAAATTGATGTTTCAATTACCGATGGGTTGAGTTACCGAGTATCTCCTTGCAAAATGTTCAAGAAAAATTGGTAAGTCAGGGAAAGTATTCAGATTTAACACCTCTCACAGCTCCCTGACATTGCTAAGTCCCCTGTAGTGGTATTCTAGAGCTGCCACTGCTTCAGGAAGATGTTCTGTGTTTGTCTCGTGGCCCGAACACCCTCTAGCATGCCCTATGGCCTCCTGGGGGTACAGGGACTCGGGTTTGAGAAATACAGCCTTGGGCTAACCGGGCCCAGCTCGGATTCAGATCTCCTCTGCTGGACTGGCTTCCTTGCTGTCTCCAGGGTACACTGGGGACTGTGTAGCTGCTGTGCTCTCCATGTTAGTATACAGCCTAGACCCATCTGGGAGCACCAGGCTCTACACACAAGCATTGCCTGTAATCTGGGATCATAGGGCCCCACCCAGCTCCAGTTACCTGATCCCCAGGCTCCAACACGTCTTCCAGGCTATGCCAGTTATACACTTCCCCACCTTTTCATCATCCCACCTCTGAAAGTTTCCTGACTCTCCCAAGGTCATGAGGGAAGTCCATGGGCATTAAGGACATCCTCTTTAACTACTGCTAATGTCCCTTTGACCCAGCCACTCGTCAGCACCAGAGAGAGGGGACTAGCCTGACTTTCCTTCTTTCCTGTGGCTCCTGAAGGCCACAAACCCAGGGGCCAGGGAAGTGGGGCCGGGGGAAGGTACTCACAGCCACCAGCCCGTTGTGACCTGCAATGAGATAGAGGAGAGGGTTGAAAAGTAACACTGGTCAGTGGGAAGACAGACACATTCCTTGAGGACCGTGGCCACCCAACCTTGTCACTAGGCCTGTGAAGATCTTGGAGAGGTAGCAGAAACTTAGGGGACCCCTAAAATCCGTACCTGGATATTGGAACAGCATCTAGCTCGATGCTATAAAATACCTGGTCTGTGTAGAGTCAGAAAACCTTGGTTTTTGCCCTGTCATGAAAAATGTCCTGTCATCCTGACTTGGTCAGAGGCTCCATGCTGGAGTGAGGGGCAAGGAAAACATCCATGGTCATCAGACAAAAGCTGTCCCATGAAGCCTCATAATGCTGAGCTTTCGTCATTCGGGGATAAGCAGGTGGCTGTCAGAGGAAGAGTCAGTTTACTTGGCAAGGAGGAGAAGGAAAGCGTGGCTAATACGCTGAAGTACCAGATGTACCAGGAGAGCTGGTGTGCTGACGTCCGGCATAAAATCGCTGGCCACCCAGGCGAGCACTGGTGGTGTGGACAGTCGCTGTCAAGCCTGGCTTGTTTCGCCAAATGTGGTTCATAGTAGAGCCCCAGAAGGCTTTAGGCACATGGGTTTGTTTTTGTCAATCTCCAGTATTCTCAAAATAAAATAGAAACAGTTCAAAATGAAGTAATTAAACATATACAGCTTCCATGTGTGTTAGAGTTGCTAGTATGCTTCAGGGGTACTAGCGGATTGGGCCAACTTACCTATTTTACATATAAAGTTTCTTTCCAGAAATCTTAGGAGGGCTGCCCCTGGGCTAAGAGCCCTAAACTTGGCTTGGGATCCCATGTTCCACACCAAGACCACTGATAGTGAGTGCCTCTCCAGCTTTGAGAAGCTTCAGGATCACCTGAGAACTCATGTAAACGCCCAGATTCCCAGACCCCTCTCCAGAGACTACTCAGCAGGCTGAGGGCAGGGCCTGGAATGCGGTTTCTCACAAGCAACTGGGTCATTCTGATGCAGGTGGTCTCAGACACACACACTGTGCACGCGGGCGCTGGGGCTAAGCGGCCTCCTCTTTCCTCATTCTCAGGAGAAGGTGCAGCTGCTGTTGGAGAGTCTCCTTGGGCAGAGAACATGCCCCGGTCATTTTCAGGGAGGGGAGTCCGGCCTTGTCTGAACCACTTGGTGATAGAAGGTTGCTCTGTGTCTTCAAAGATGTCAGAAGATGACTATGTTTTCTGAGCAGCAACCTGAATCGTGTTGACTCAAATAAAACGCTCAACGATAATTTCACAAACATTCATAAATAGCGGAGCAGCGGTGACCCACATGATGGATTTCTTCATAGCTGAACTGATTTTATTTTAAAATTTCCACATAGAAACTGCCAGAATTTTAGAGATGACTGAGCCAATTTCTCATCCATTAAAAGACTCTCTACCATGAGGTTTGCAAACCTTTGTCACCATGATCCACGGGAAAAAAATGTATTTTACACTGTGATCTGGCACACCCCCCACATAAAAGTGTAGTTCACAGACACAAAAATTTCATGAATATTAACCCTTATCATGTGATAATCAAGTGATAATCTATTTGATTATACTTCATTTTTTAAAAATGCTGGTGGCTATGCTATTTTTACATATTTTTGAAAATTATCTTAAGGAAAGTTAAAAAAATATTGCTGGATGAGACTCATGGGTGGATTGCAATCTGCTGTTTGAAAAGCCCTGCTCTCAAATACATACAACTACTTAAAGGCCCACCATCTTGGGCTCAACTTGGCTTCTGCTATTCATCAGACATGATCCTGGGAGAGTCACTTAAACCAGCCAGGTGCCTCAAGTTTCCTCATATGTAAAACAGAGAGGATTCTGGGACCTCTCGGTGTTGCAGAGAGAATGACCGATAATATATGTAAAGCCCTAACCCTTAGCAGATACTGAATAAATGGTAGCTATCTGTCCTTTAATTACTGCTGATTATAAATCTTGGAAAACTAATAAAGGCTTCCAGGCAACTGGGTTCCAGTTCAATTATCACACATAAGCCCACATATGCACGAACACATCTCAAATGACAAAGGTCGAGGATCCAATATCCCAGGACCCTCCTCCCTCCACCACTCCCCCACCCCTAGTCCTGGCTGAGTCCTTCTGTGGCTTCTGGTGACCTCCCTTTGCCCCTTGAAGGGACCTTAAGCTAATCTCCAGGCCTGACTCCTGGGATCCTTAGGGAGCTGGCACACCGGGCTCTGCAGGGAAGCTGCTCTGAACGTGGCATCTAGACTGTGGGCTGTAGCCGCCTGCATTGGATCTACTCAGAGTGTTGGTTAGATGTGCTATCTCCATAGTGACTTTCAATCCTCAGAATCCGAATCACCAGGAAGTGCATTTGAATGAGCTCCTGGGTCATTCTTAGGCATATTGAGTCGGATAACTAAATCAGGGTCATCTTCTAGGCGGCTTCCAGGTACTGATGTTACTTCAGGGATACAGAGATGAGACCAAGAGTCAATCTCCCTGCCAGGAGACAGCGGGGATGAGTTGTCCCAAGAAAAAGGTGGGTAAGGGGCTCTATGAGGCTGAGAGGGCCAGGTGCTCCCATTTACTGAGCTGTCAGGGGGGGCTGGAGCAGGCTTCCCCAGCCCAGGTCACATGCAAGCCGTTGTCAAACACAACCATTGTTAAAAATTAAAGTGTATAAACTTACAATGAAATAAATTATATTAAAAACACAGGTAATACATACTCAAAACTTGCCGCTTTCTAATTATTTTTACTTCATTTTACTATTATCTATGCTCTGGTGGTTATTTTTCTCTATGTAGTGCCGCGTCCTCTTTCTACCCTACTGCGTGACAAGGTCCGGAGGTGGGGACAGAGGCTTCAAGGAATGCGTCGTCAAGAACGAGGACGTGGCACGTGTTTAGGGATAATTGGTTTCTTAGGAACGATCCTATTAATAGGGGGAATTTGGGTAGCACAAATTCTAGTAAGTGTAAACGCTGTACAAGTGGATTTCCTCAAAATTGGCTCTGAGGAAAAAACAGTAAATTCCCCGCGTATGGAATCAGCTCCAGTCACCCTGACGTATCCAGAATGCGTAAACCCTTTATTTGAACAATTATTAAGAGAAATTCCTTTCGACGCGCCTCTTAAAGATGTTACGAATAAATTATAACAAGCTGAATTAAAATGAGTAAAGGATAAGAAATTTACTCATAAGCCTGTGCCTACTATGGAAGGGCCTCCTTTTGTGGCCTAGTGGATAAATAGAGAACTCTGGTATCCACCTAGCGGGGCTAATAGTATGAAAAGATTACCTGATCTTCCTTTGCCTTATACAGGAGCTTATAATAAAGATAGTATATGTATAGTGAATAAAGATAGAATTCATGTGTCTTATAGTAGTTTAAGTTTCATAGAAAGGCTGGCTAGGTCAGGATCTCCTTGGTGCTTAAAAACAAAGGAACAGAAACTTAGCTTATGAAAGCAGCTTTGTAAAACTGATTTTTATAAATATTTTCCTCATTACTGCACCAAGGAAACTTTTGAACAGCTATGAGAAAGGTTCAGCTTGAACTTTAGATATAGTATAAATCAAATAGCATTTAAAAGATTTCTTCAGGCAGAAAGAAGAACAATGTCTGCCCACAAGCCAATGCTTGCTGTTATGAATACATCTATCTATCACCTTTACTTAAATCAAACTGTATCTTACGTAATAGATATAAGAATTAAAAGTTTAGATTGCTCCATCGGGTAGTTCTGTTCTAATGATTGAGAGAAAAATGTACTAGTTAATCATGAATATTAATAATAATATACTTTATAAGATTTTCTGCTTTGCCTAACCACAGACATTTAACTCCCTGCTATCTTAACCACAAAGTATAATCAAATGCCAAAATGGAAAGTATAAAAGTTTACTCAAATCACAATAAAACGGAACAGTGTCACACCGCCTCTGAGTTGTGTAGTCGACTATCTCCCGTGCCGACGCCCTGTCCACCTTTGGGGCCCCCTGGATCCTGTCGTGGCTGGACCGCAGCAACGTAACCTTATGGGTGTCGTCCTATGTGACGATGCATTGCTGTCTCTCTCCCAAACTCATATTCAGTGACGTTATGGCAGGAGTATTTACACCATGGAAATCAGCGTTACACATCAGGGCTTGATTTATTATTCTGTGGATTGTTGTACTTGAGAGAGTGATGGAGAAAATGCTAATATGCAGGTTAAACTCGACAGTGCACTGTGTCTGTAGCTGCTACATTGTGACACTTTCTAGTCTTTAAAGTAAATGAACATCTCAAACAACATTCCTTTTGGAACTATCCTCATTTGTCGATTGCAACCATAAGTTGGCTACTGAGTTTGACAAAAATCAGAAATTCAGTGAGAATCAACTACCTGGAATTTATAGTTATTTTATCCGTAATATTGTGTGCTACACTTCATTTCAGCATTTCTAATAAATTGATGTACATGTGTATACACGTACACATTTTCCCCTGGGCGACTTGAATATTTATGGGCACAAAAATAAAGAGGACAAAAACAAAGAACTGCCCAAACGCGATGCACCTTTAAAGCTGTATGATAAGCACGTTCTTCTTTGGGTCCTGTCATTGTCTCTCTGTATAAACCCAGTTGGAAATAATGTCAAGAGCCGAGCTTTGTTTGGGCCCTTGTGTGACTGGAAGGCCCCGAGGGAAGGCAGCCTCACAGTCACCCCGGGTGGCAGCAAAGTGTAGCGGATGTGCTCGGCAGTGGGGACTGTCACCCTCTGCAGACATGCACTACGATCTCTAGGACTCATTTTTACTTTTTCCTAACTCCCCTTTATGAAATGATTTGTTTCCTTTGAGGGTAGGTGACCTTGCTGTTGAACTGGTGGTGACCAGAAATCAGGATACTTGGGGGGGCTGGATTTCACAGGTCTGTTGTCCCAGGGCTCTTTCTTTTCAACCCTTATGAATGTGGTGGCAACCGGCTCATTTCACAGGAGATACATGGAAACCCTGAGCTCACCTAGTCCTCCCTGGTCATTTTAGATGGGAAGACCCAAGCCCAGAGAGGGCAGGAAGCTGCCCCAGATCACACAGCAAGGCGACAGCAGAGACAGCCCCAGAACTCCAGAGCCTATCTGCAGACTGGTGGGCTTCCCACCACAGTGCCTGCTCTCGCCCCAACTCCTGGCCATCTTATGCCAAGAGAAGAGGGAGGGGAGGGGCTTGGGAAGGGGTCCCTCCAGGCCTCTGGGCAGGGCTGCCCTCCCAGCGCACAGCTCTGGCTCAGCCTGACTTACCTGCTCCTATCACCACTGCATCGTACTCAGGCTTCAGGCGTCCCTTGGCTTCCCAGTGAGTGCGTCTCCAGGCAGGGCAGGGAGAGGCACTCATGGCCCTGCTGAGACCTCGGCCACTTGCAGCCATTTCCGCCCAGTACTAGGCCAGGAATTTGCTTGCAATCAGCTTTTTGTGTGTCCTCAAGCAGGGGGAGGAGCAGGGAGAAAGCAGGAAGAGAGGAGGAGCTGCAGTCCAGCTGCCTTACTTGGCCTTAGGCCACACTAAACAGAGGACAGAGTTGCACACTCCGCCACGTGGAGTCCCCACAGGGCAGGGTTGAGGGAGGTTGACTGTTAACCCAGCTGAAGTTGTGTTGCCTCCAGGCCTTTGGATACTCACCTCCAGGCTGATAATTCTCTGACCCCACGTGTCAGGAGCTGTGCAGCCTCTCACGTCAGCCCCAGAATTCCCGTTGTACAGACGGGGCCACTGAGGCCTGGAGGAGGTGAGCGTGAGCAGTGAACGGTCTAGTGAAGTCGGAACAGGGTGCCACAGGCCCTCTTCTCCCTGTGCTGCCCTGCTTCCCATTAAGGAATCACACGTCCGCCATGTGCGGGAGTGGCGCTCCCGAGTAAAGAGAGACCTGGGCCCGACTGCTCCACTCCCCATCCTGCCAGCCGATAAGCGCTGAACTGCTCTACACCCACAGCAGGCTCAGGGAGCCTGCTAGCTGAGCACCCTCTTAGCATCACTGTGACCAGGGCCTCAGAAAAACTGCAGAGAGGCCCACGTCTGTCACTGGGCCCGAGAGAGCCACGCGTTCTCTCCCTGATGCTTAAATGCCGTGAGCTTATGAGGACGCGGCACTAGCTAGAAGGGGTGGGAGGCCAGTTTGCTCATCTGTAATTCTTGGGGTTCACCTTTTTCTTGTGAAGGCCTAGACATTTCTCTTCTGTCCTTTGGCACCTTTCCTGTTTTCCAGTTTCTTTGAGGATTAAAAATCTGTAAATATCTTCAGACGAAGTGCTTTCTTACTGTCCTCTGGCCCGTCTTGAATTAGGAACCCCTTTGTTTTCTGCCTTTTAGTTTCCAGGCCATTCCCGTTGTAGGAAAAATGCACCCCGGGAGTTGGGAGTGTCTGTACTGCTCTGACATCTGTCAGTGCCCTAGAAACCCGCTGTTAGAAACACATTTCAAAACTGGGAGAAAATGTGGAAAAGGTGTTTCTGAGTGAGAGGGTTTTCTGGGGACCCTTCTCTCAGCTCAGACCCCCCTCCACATGCCACGGAAGGGCCATACCGCCTGCAAATCTCTGCTAATATCCCTCTCAGGACATTCACTCTGCTGTTATTGTTATATTGAAAAACTTGGGGTTTTGGTTAAACTAGACATGTCACATCATGCAGCTGCTAAAAATTAAGGGAAAATATTAAGTGACAAAGGTTGGACCCTAAGCAGTGGTGGCTTCCAGACCTAGTCTTTCCCCTTTGTGCTCTTCTGTATCTTCCACAATTGATATTTTAAATTTCTGTCCATAAAATCACGGTATTAAGAAAGAATGCAGTCTTCTCAGGTGACTGTCCCTCACTGCCACCTTCTGACGACTTTAGCCCAAGGTGTAGTTCTAGTTCCTTCAGTACCTGAAACCTTTAGGCTGTTTCCTTAATGGGAAAGAACAGTCTTGGCACGAATCCTGGCTCCAGACTGAAGACAGAATGCCTGGCAGCTGTCTGCATGTCATGAGTGAACCCTCAGCTCTACTCTGCTGGGTCCTGACTTCTGCCATGCTGCTTGTCCCCGCTCTATTTGGTCTCTTGTCATCATGTCTGTTCTGGGGAGGGAGCTGCTAGGTTGGAGGGGCTGCACCCCTACGGCAGTGGTTCTCAATCCAGGACATGCCAGGATCACCGGGCACAGCCTGGGATCCGGTGCACCAAGTACACGAATCTCGGGTGGGGCCAGGGCAGGACCCGAGAACCGCGAGCGGCACCAAGAGGCCGACTCGCCAGGGCTTCTCGGCACCAAGCAAGGTCCAGGGGCCCAGGCACGGTTAGCGTGAACAATATCAATAACTGAGACCAGTGTTTATTGAGCACCTGCTGCGTGTCTGGCAGCCCTAACCAGCACCCAGAGAGGGAGGTGCCATCACCCCACAAGCAGGGAGACAGGTCTGGTTTAGGAAACCCACCCAGAGCTGCAGAAAGAAAATGGCAGAGCTCAGAGCTGGACTTCAGCCAAGGGAGTGCCTTTCATTTGGGGAAGAAACCAGCTTCCTGAGGGACTTCCTCCTCCTCTCCTAGGACAGCGGAGGGAGGGTGTCTTCAGACACCAACAAGTACTGCGGACTTCCTGTCTCCTGGGGATAAATGGAGATGAAGCTCTGAAAGAGGCCACTGTTGTTTCAAGGAAACCAAAGGAATCCCCTGGCCTCCCTCCTCCTTCAGAGGGAAGAATCTGGGGGTTTGGTCATTGCCTGGAATGGAAGCTGCTCTAAGTGAAGTTTAAGAAATCACAGGGCTGCCCTGGGGACTGTCCATTCTCAGGTGGCTGCTACGGAGGAGAGGAGGCTCTTGCTGCAGCCATGTCTGCAAGTGGGGGTGAGGACTGGAGAACTGGGTGCACAGGCAGACCGCGCTGGGGCCATCCACCCCGGCCTAGGGCAGGGGGACGCGGGATGCCTCCCACAAGCGCCGGGCCAGCTCGCCGGCCTGCTGCACCAGCACGTCTCTGGGGATAACAGACAGGTGGAGGGCCAGCAGCTCATGGCACTTGACAGACTCAGCTGGGTGGCCCTTGCTGTAATAGCGCAGGAGCTTCCTGGAGGAGGGAAAGGGAGGAGAGGATTCAGGGGCAGGGCCACGGTACTCCCCTCAAAGCCAATGGCCTCTCCCAGCACCATGCAGGTACCGTCACCTCACGAGGCCCCAGCACCCAGGCCAGCGGGGCCTTCCCCACCCCTCGCTGGCCTAACCGTACAAGCCTCAGCCGCAGGACGCCATGGTCCTCCCACCTTTGGGTTCTTACTCCTGTGTAGGGTCTGCTGACAGCGGCGCCCTAAGGATGCCGCAGAACCATTGGGGAAGTTCGGGGCCCCAGAGGAGACATCTGCAAATGCTGCCAAACAGGTCCCAACAGCAAGACGGGCAGCAACGCACACGTACTCCCCACTCACTCCCTCCGGACACCAGGTCAGGCTATGGGGAGCTTTTCACAGGGGTTTGTTTCTAGCTTCTTGGGGGACATTCCTGAAGGAGAAGCTGCTCCCCCATAGGGGAGCTGGTGCTTATCACTCAACATCCGAGCACGCACGGTCCTCAACAGCCTTCTGAATCGGTGTTACCTGTAGTAGTCTCCGCCCAGCATGCCCACAGGAGCCGAGTCATCAGAAAGGACAGGCACCTCGATTATCTGGAGTTTGTACCCCTGAGGAAGGAGGAAGAGGGTCTTGACTGGGGAGGCGGTGGGCGTGGTGCGAAGAAGGTGGGCTTGAGTCAGACACACCAGGTTCATTGCCTGGCTCCGCCCTGCCTGGCACGCGCTTGCTGCTGGGAAAACACCTGGGCCTCTTTACCTTGTTTTCTCATCTGTGAGCGGGGCGGGGAGGGGGTGACGGTAATTCCCAATGGACATTAGAAACAAGGTATATGAAGTTCTGAGCACTGTGTCTGGCACATGGTAGCTCTCATTCCCATCAATGAATGAACGGGGTCAGCCACCAGCACATGCTCAGGAGGGCTGGGGCTGCCAGGAGGATGACCTGGGGAGGTGTCGCTAAGAGCAAAGCGTTATCAAAAGGCCCAACTCTCTCTTTAAAAACAATGGGAATTCCCAGGGTAGGCTCCGGAGAAGGGAATCAAGATCCACTGTGTAACCGCTGTGTGTGTACCAGGCACAGTCACAGAGCACCTCCGAATGCTCACGAGGGCACTGTGCGGTGCGCCCTGCAGGTGACGGGGTGGACTTGGCAGTGGCAAGCGGCCGCCCATGATGGCACAGCTGCAGCCAGACCTCACACTGTCTCTCCCTACCCCACAGCTCCACCTTAGCCTATGACCCAGTGGGGCCAACCACACACATGAAGTCATGTCTTGCCCTAGAAGCCAAGGTCAAGGTCAAATATACACTGGGCACTTATGAAGACACAGAGCAAAGATGGGAGCCTGCAGGTCAAAAAAGCTGCGCCTGGGTTCTGGCTTCATCGCCTGTGATGTCGGTGGCCCCGGCCACGGTGTTTGATCTCCAGGGCATGTGTAAAATGGAGTCACTGTATGGGCCAGTGTGGATGTGGGGCTATGAGAACAGCAGTGAGAGACCCCGATAACTGCACTTCACTGCGGAAAGGCAGGGCCATCGCCTCAGGGTCACCTCTTGCCAAGAGCAGAGAGAGGGGAGGGTATCAGGAGGGGAGGAGACAGGAGAACTGGGACCAAAGGCACTTGAGGGTAGAAGGAATGACCCTTAAAGAGCTGGAATAATGAATAACGACAAATGAGAAGAAAACGAAGAAACAGGAAAGGAAAGAGGAAAGAGAGAGAGAGAGAGTGAAACAGTGAGACAGAGCAGGAGAGAGAAGGGCCCGGGGAAGACAGAGACGGTAATCGCCCCGGCCCTGCGCGTGCACGGTGCTAACAGTGAGGTCCAGCAAACAGGCCAGGAGGCCAGAGACCTGACCCTGTTGTCGGCCTCACCGAGGGCAGGTGGGCGAATTGCTCTGAGCCTCGGCGTGCCCACCTCTACAAGGGGAACGACAGGGTGCCATGCTTCGCAAGCGCAGCGGGTGGCACTGAGGCACCGAGGAGGCACACGATCAGAACAGCCTTTCTCACACAGGAAGGGCATGCGTCTGTCTGCTTACACATTACCTGGACATTGCCTCGAACGACAGTATGAACTTTTCAGACAAATGGGTGGAGGGGTCACAAAGTCTGCTCAAAAACGGGACCTCTGAGTTCTGGGTCTCAACCAGCTGTACATATCTGTCAGCTCCGGCAGGGATGAGAAGAGACAGAATGAACACAGTCCAGAAGAGAGGAATCCAAGTGTTACAAGAAAGGCAAGCGTTTCCGGACTGTGCTGCCCCAGGACCTGGCCACACCCACCATCTCGTTCTCGAACCACAGGAAGTAGGAGCAGTGGAAGTCCCCGTCCTGGAACAGCAGCGTGGTGTAACCCTTCTGCAGGTATCTGCGCGCCAGTCGGATCAGAGACCAGACCTGGGGAAAGAAGCGGAGAGCATCTGTGGCTGCCCTGACGGCCACAGCCCGCAGGTTGGCCCTCTCCCCATGGCAGGGGCAGAGCTCAGGTTCCCGCCTCCAGGGGAAGAAAAGAACTCAGAAGAGAAGCTCCTTGAAGGCCAGGGGCCTCTCCTGCTCTGCTCCCTTAGTGCCGGGGCATGGCCTTGGCTCAGAGCAGGAGCTGCATGATAAGTCCATGTTGGATGGATGGTGGACTACTCCTCCAGCTACTGTGATGATAAAATATAGGTAAAAATACTTTATATAACTTTACTGTACACGCCAGCCATAAATTAGCAAACTCATCATTCAAACCAGAAAACAGCTGAAGACAATTAAGACAGTGGGAGATGAAGGGTGGCCACTTGCAAACCCCTCCTTGCCGTCTTGGGCACAGGTTCTAATGCTGGGAAGGGATTTGAACACGTACAGCGCCCTGATCCAGGCACATCCTCTGCTCCAGGGGTGGGAGCCAAACCAGGGCTCACCGAGGGGTCTGATGGAAACACGGTGCCTTGTTCTCTTGCCTAATCCGAGGACTTCCTGACGCTGCCTGTGACTGCGTGAGGGAAGCAGCAGGGACAGCTGGCTCCCCGACCTCCCGGGCTGGGGAAAGGCCCGTGAGCGCTCTCACCAAAACCCTGAGCACACACGATTTACTCCAAACCTGACCACAGCGTAATGTCTAATTAAATCTGCAAACGAATACATGGATTTGCTATATTTTCAGGAATGCAATCTGACAACATGTATCAATAACCTTAAAAACATTCCTTCCATTTGACTTAGCAATTCCATTTCTGGGAATCCATATTGAGAAAATAATCAGAGATGAGGACGAAGACGGATGCACAAAGGTGTGTGCTATGAAATTATTTATAATAGCGAAAGCCTGGAAACAATCTAAATGTTCAACACTGGGGAAATGGCTAAGTAAATTATGTTACAGTCACATGATGGACTGTTGTGGGGCTGTTAAAAATCATGTTTATAAAGAATTAATGACATGAGGAAATGCATCTGATATAAAGTAAAGTGAAAATGTGGTAAACAATTGCATAGACGGAAAAAGCTCAACTATAACAAACGGCACAGAAGAACAATGAAGAAAATGTACCAAGAGAACCTGGCTACCTCCGGAAAGAGGGAGGAAGATGACGCTGCTGCTGATGGCACCAGCAGGTGCCCAATGAGCTCTACCTCGATGTTATGCCACATACTGTGCTAAATATCTTACATGCATCTGTAACCTTTGCAACAATTCCATGACACCAGTAGTGTTATTATTCTCTTTTACAGATGAGGAAACTCAGCTTAGACTAAGTAACACCCCAACCACATCCTGAGTGGCAGCCAGAGCTGGCTTTCCAACGCAGGCCTTCTGTCACTCATCTTATTTGAACTATTATGATATATATTTTTTGGATGTAAAAAGTGTGTGTGTGTGTATGTATATACATCTAGTTTTTCAGAAAGTGGCAGAGATCCTCTCTCCTCCCTGCCAAAAATACTAGTTTGCCATGAAGAAGTCAAAGAAAATAAAAGAATCCCCAGAAAATGCTTCCCTAGTAGAAACCTTCTAGTTTTAAGTTCTGATAGTCAAATTGAATAAGCTATGTTTCTTCTGTTTTAAGTTAATAGGACAATATGTAGTGGGCATTTGCTTATGCCAGGCACTTTGTTAGGCCCTGGCTGTTTCCTCCTCCGACCTTGCTGTCCAGACTCTGCTAATCCAGGACATTAGCAAACACCCAGGAAGCTACCTCCTAGCATCGACTGAGGCCCATGTGGCCCTGGGTGCTGACCAGGGCCCTCGGGTGAGAGAGACAAGCCACTATTCCTAGAAGCTTGTGGAGCTGGGAGCAGATGCTGCCACAGAAGAGCAGGGGTGAAGGTGGGGTGTGCTCCAGGCCTCACGGGAGCCGAGAGCAGGGGGACTGGTCCTTCCTGGGCAGAGTCAGGCTGGCACACCCCATCCGACAGGCAGTGAAGAGTGCCTGGGTTGGGCAGTGGTTACCTTTGTTCTGATGAAATTGGCCAGGGGTCCCTTGCCCAGCTCCGCTGAAGTCCTTTCGCCGCTGCTGAGGGACGGGGCCACCATCTGTCCAGTCGTGCGGTCTATGTAGATGAAGTGCACCAAGCCTGGGAAGTCCTCTAGGTAGGTGAAGGTCTGAGTTAAGGTGCTTGTAAGCCAGGAAATGGGAATGGCGCTTCTCTGTCCCTAACCTAGGCCTCCAACCAGGTAAAGCAGTGGAGTCTGAGGCCAGGCCTGCCACGCCCACCCCCCAAAGGTTTCCACTCCAGCCAACTCCTCTCCCAGATCTCTGCCTACCTCCAAACCTCCAAACCCGAGAAGTTCTGAGATGCTAGAACAACGGATCCTTGACCCTTGAACATTTAACACAGGGAGTTCTAGACCCAACAGGAACATGATACGCTTGTATTTTACGGTTTTCGTGAGGCACGGGTTTAAATTATACACACGGTGAGGCTGGCGTTGAGGACAGAGCTATATAGCTCATGAGTGAGCCTAGCTGACCGCCCAACCCACACACCTCACCGCGATTTTGTTCATCTCTATGCTTCACCTCGAGAGGCTGGAAGTTCCCATTTGAGAGGAGAACAGACTCCCAGGGAAGGGCAGTGACTGGTGGCTAATGGGGCTGTCATCCCTTTCATCTATATACTGAAGACAGAAGTTTCAGGAGACTGGAGACCAGACCCTTTAGAGATATTACTATAGGAAAAGGTGTTTTATATAAAGTTCCAGAAAAACTAGTATAAAGTTCAATAAAACTAGTATGCTATAATGGGTCAACTAAGTCTTAGACACGTTTTGTTTTTTTTTTTTAAACTGGGATAAACTTTTTCCTGCCGGCCTTCTCCGAGCCTTCACATTCTGCTCTGAACTGTGACCTCTACGTGGGAGGCCATGGCTCTCAAACCAACCAGACCCAGGACCCCACACCTTGTGGAATATCCATCACCACTTTGCTGGCTGGACAACACCGACATAAACGACTGCCGAGGCTTTCATAACTCTGAGACACCAGGGGCTTCTGAAACTTCAGCCTTGGGGCGTTCCTGCAGGAGGCACGCAGGACACGTTCTCCTATTATTTTCCTTCAGACAAAAGAAGAAAAGGTGGAATATACAGCCTCCCATCCCAAAGCCATGGTCCTTCAGAGTGAGCAGTTGGAGGACACGGGCAGACACGAGGGGCTTTTCTGGAGGGGCTCGAGGCTCAGACATTGGGATATGACACCATGGTGACGTTCCTCCTGCTCTTCACCAGCAGGAAGTCCTTCGAGTCCATCAGCTTCTCTCTGCAGGGGAAGCAGGGGAAGGGGGGGTGGGGGCGTGAGGTGAGCCCCTCCCCTCCCCCTGGCTAGTGCGGGGCCACGCCCACACTTACTGCATGAGTGTCTGGACCTGGTCCCGCAGGTGCTGGGGCAGCTGTGGGCCTCCCCGGCCCGGAGTGGTGGTCAGGAAGCTAAGACGGTAGATGGCACAAAGCTGCCGCTTCACCTTCCCACACACCTGGAGCAGTCTGGGCACCGAGAGATGAGAGCGTCACAGTGGAAAGGGCCCTAGAAGAGTGTGTTCCCCCGTGTGGTCACCCTGCTCCTGCACTGATGACAGACACAGCTGATGAAGTGTACCCTCCCCATCCCAGTTTTTCCCAAATGTAGCATTCCAAATACTTGGGAAGAAATTCATGGAATCTCATCTAACTTCATGGTTTACTTTACCAGGAAGTGAGGGGAAGTGATGTGCTTGAGGTCGCAGTGAATCAGTGCTGAAGCCAGGCTGGAACCCGGGCCTTTCACCCCAGTGCTGGATCCTCACGGCCCTGCTCCTCAGCCTCTAGCCTCTCTGCTTGCCAATCTCCCGCTGGCACCCGTGGGCTGCAACCCGCTCTCCCAGGACCCCTCTGCCCTCAGAAACGCCTTCCTGAGCACTCTCTCCCTCTTGGCCTGGAGGAGACTTGCCCTATTCCCTAACTGGCCCCCTTTCTCTCAGAGCCCACAACTCACTCCCGGGACGATCCGGGTTCACTTCTGGAGAAGGCCTTGGTCTTGAACTCCAGCCAGGCGCTCTGTAGGAAGGCAGGGGACAGGTCAGCTTACTGATGTTCTCACAGTGTAGTCCGGCAGAGACCTTTCTTACATCAGGCTCTGAGAGGGCATCGTGCCTCCTGATGGCTTCTTTAGGCCCAGCACACATCTGGCCTCGCACAGCCAAAGCTGGGCCTCTTCCAGGTCCTATCCCACACACCCCGCACCAGGTCTCTGCACCCCGCTGTACATGGTCGACTTACTTGGCAGACGTTTATTTAAAGAACAGCTTCTGTGTGCCAAGTACTGGGCTCACTGCCTGGCTGGCATAGACACGTAAAGTAATGCTGTCAGAGAGGTAAGTGACTCGGGGGAGGGTGGACGAAGGGGCAGAAGCTGGGCCGTCTCCTTCAAGGAGAACTCTGCGTTCTAACACAGTGCCACTGAGATGCCCGAAGCACTGCGAGATGCTGAGCGGCCTTCTGACCGCTCTGAGTGGAGAATCTGGGTCTATCTGGCCTTGGGGCTTCAGTGGCTGCTCTGCCTCCTCCAATCCGACCAACGCCCCTGCAGCCACAGAGAATCTCAGCTCCTCACAGAGACCCAAGCAGCGCCGGCTGCTTACCCGAGGTGACTGAACCCCCTGAACTTGCTTCTAGGTGCCTGACTAGACCGTGCCAGCTTTCTACTGCTTACGCACTATCCTTTATCTCTTGGCCTTGTCTCCCACCTGGACTCTAAGCCCCCTGGGGGTGGGAGTGGGCTGCATCCTGCACTTCTGTGTGACCTGCCACGCTGTGAGGGCAACCGCGGTAGACTGCAGGCCTTCACTGAGTCCTTGGGTTAGGTTTTGGTTCTGCCACTCACCAGCCAACTAATCTTGGCCAAGTTACAATCTGTCTAAGCTCCAGTCTCCTCATATAACACATGGGAACTATGATCAGTGTTCTGCCAAACTCACATAAAAATGTTCTGAAAAATGTCAATTTTGTTATCATTTCCTAACTGGGAAACAAGGATCATGAAGAGGCTCTACCTCCTCTCCCTGAGGTGGGCATTCTCGGGACCCGAGTCTCACCTGAATCTCTTGCCCCCCGCGATTCTTGACGAACTTGTCCATCCTGTGGCGCAGGTCCCCCATGAACGGGAGGGCCCGCAGGGAGCTTCCGGCCTCCTGTCCCTCCTTCAGCTTCTTCTCCAGCAGGGAGAACCCATCCAGCAGCTGGAACAGGACCAGGGCCAGGGGCGTGCTGGGGCTCTAAGGGAAGAAGCGCAGGGCAGGGGAACGGGCAGCTGTGTGGAAGGTGTCCAGGCCGCAGTGTCACTGGAGCAAGTAGGGGGCGCTCACTCGTACCTTGGTCAGGAGCACCATGTTGATGCCTGGCCACAGGGGCAGGCAGTACATGGTGTGAGGCACCATGGGGCAGTAGCTCTCTTTCACACTGGCATCCAGGAAAATCCTTCTGGGACTGGAAGGTGCTGGGGAGCCAGGGATCAGCGTTTGGAGGGTGTCTTCAGCTATCTGTGGAGGAAGAAGAGCTATCGCGGGAAGGGGCGGGCTCCTGTCTGGCCTCCTCCCCATGTCAGATCCACCCACAGCTGCCCATTTGCCACCCTCCCTTTGAATCATAGGCAGCAAACGTTTTAGCTCCAAGAAATCTCAGCTCTTAAATCTCTGCCCTCTATTGAAACCGCTCTAGCAGCTCCAGTTCCAATGTCTGTCTCTCTTTCAGCTTATTCTGGGCCTTTCTGCCCAGAGTCAGGACTGGATGCCAAGCAGGGATGGTGGGTGGCAAAGAAGGGACAAAAAACACAGGAAAAACAGACAAAGGTGAAGGGAGGGGGAGAGGCTCCTTTCCCATGTGGTCACATAGATGAAGGCATTTAAAGCTAAACAACATTCTGTCATTTCAGCCACTCTCAGAACATCCTGACTGCCTTTCCAATGGGGGAAACCGAGGCAAAAAAATGACTCAGTGAGCAAGACTGCAGCCTTATGAAAGGCTCGAAGAGAGCCTTTAGTGGGTAAAAGCAGAGCATTAAGGATATCATTAGAAATGCCACCAAAACTTCTCTATAAGAATGTCACTACAATCATGATAACAGCGAAAAGCTGGAGATGATGCACTAATTGTTCTGGGGATTTGCTAAATAAGTAATAACATGCATGTGATGGACTCTTGAACAGTTAACCCTACCAATGCTTAAAGAAAAAAAGTATAACGAAGTACATTAGGATTCAATTTTGAAAAAAAAAATATGTCGTTTGCATGTATATATATATTCATTTACAGGAAAGATTAAAAGGAAATATCAAAAACTCTTAATAGTAGTTAACATCTGAGGGTGAGATTGAGAGTGATTTTTATTCCTTTTTCATACTTTACTTTTGTAGTTCCTAATTTTTCTACAACAAATATATTTACTTTCTCATTAAAAAAAAAAAAATTAAGTTAGATTTTCACACCCAAGAACAGCGAGGAGGGTGGGGACTTCTCAGTAGACAAAATTACGTTTCACTCTCTGCACCCCCGGGGCCCCTGCTTCTGGGCTGAGCTCTGCCTGTCCCCTATACTGGCCAGCCCTGAGGTGGCAGGAGGAAGGCCGGAGCTGGGACAGAGTTACTCAGAAGAGAAATCCCCAGAGTCCCCAGTGCTCACTGCAGCATCTCAGATCAGCTGGTGCCCTGGCACACTCCCCTCTCCCAGGAGAAACTCACCTGGACCTGGGGAGCATCAGTGGGTGGGGTGCCCCCGTCCAGCCAGATGGTGCTACCTGCAGGCCACAGGTAATGAAATAACAACATAAATAATTGGAAAATGTGAAAAATGGCCCAACAGCATGTCAGAAGGGAGGGTGGAGTAGAGACGGCCCCGCCCTACCAGCAGCTTGGAGCACCTGGCAGGGACAAGGGCACTTAGTATGGGCTGGAGCAGCACTGCCCTTCTCATCCCAACCCTAGCCAGCAAGTGCAGGTGGACTCTGCGGTACCAGGGCTAAAGCAGCCTGAGCTGGGAAGAGAAGCCTCCTTCTCTCAGAGCCAGCTGCTGGGAGCAAGTGACTGAGGGTGCACCTCACAATGTGGGGTGTGAGGGGGCATGCTCCTCAGCCCCCTCCTCCACTCCCTTAACTCTTTTCTTTTCTTGTTTCTGCCCTCTCTACTCTTCCAGGTCCCTCCCTGGCTATAACAGCCTCTTCACTAGGAGGCAGCACACACATCTACAGTTCCCGTCATTTAGTCAATAAGCAAGCTTACTGAGCACCTACTACGCGCTAGGAATTGAGCTAGACTTCCTTTCCTAATACAGCTCACAAAAACCTACTGAACCCAGTATACATTGGAAATATGTTTGTAATAAGAGTGTTCTCTCATGGTTTATTGCAAATAATTATCATTTATAACCATGTTTCTCTGGGGAAGCCTGTCCCTATGTGTCGAAAACCTGATTTACAAATGGATGAGTGCAACTCAAGCCATTTGTTAGCTCTGAGTTCTGTACACTGTGGAATGGCATTATTTACAGCTCTGAGGCAAAAGAACCAACCACTCAGAGAAGCGGGAGAAGAGGAAGATCGTGATGAATGAGGGACGGGAACAGTAAGAAGAAAAGGGAACTTCAGCGATCACCCCAGAGCAGTGCTTCTCTATGTGTTTTGGGCTCGCGGAGAAGCTTAAAGAACTGAGGACAGTTACAGATCCTGGCCCTAGAGAAATGTACGCATATATACGAATTGGCACATGATCTCAGGGGGTCCCAGGCTCCTTGCCTGGGACCTAAAGACCTTCTAACCTAGTGGTTTTCAACTGTGGCTGCACATGAGACCTTTTAAAAATCCTGATGCCATATCCCAACCAGTTAAGTCAGCATCTCTGGCACAGGCCCAGCTTCAGTAGTTTTTAAAAATCCCCAGGTGAGCCCACTGTGCAGCCAGAACCGCTGCTCTAACCTAAATCTGTGCACAGCAGCGGTTCCCGCCCTGAGGCTCACTGGCCTCCCTGGGAAACTTCTAGTATTTACCTGGGCCTCGGCTCTTGGACTATGGCTTCATTGGTCTGGCCGAAGCTGCCCATGTCATTCCACTGTACAGCCAGAGGTGGGAACCACTGGTCTAAGGGGGCCATACAGTAAATTCCTTTCAAAACTCAGTCCCTGAGGAGTTTCTCCTCCCGCAACCCTAGCCTTCTTTCTCCGATCAGATGCGTGCGTGTCCCCTTTCCCTGAGAACTCCAGTGATGCCCGCTCAGTGACTCCAGCAGTCTTGATTTTGGCTCATCTATTTCTCTAAGTAATGTTATCTCTTTTATTTTGCTGATAGCATTTTTAATATTTGTAGTTTCTTTCTATTGCTTACCCTTATACTTTGAGAAAACAGGTAAGATATAAACTACAGAGACTGAACATTTACATTTTAAATCACTGTACTTGAAATCAAAGAATTTAAATTAGTTGATTACTTATTAATTACAAAAAAGAGAATACACAGATAAGAGATTAATTTTAAACTGAAATCAACTTGTCGTAATAAGTTTTAGCAATCATTTGAGTGGCCTTCACAGTCCCTGAATTCGAGCTGGAGCTGGCAGGGTAGACGGAGGGGTTGCTGCGGACAGCGTCCTGTGCTCTAGGAATCTGGATGTCTGGACCTGGACACTTACAAGGCAGTGACTTCACAGAATCCTAAGACAGACTCCCCAGGGCTGCCAATTGCATCTGCCTCCCTGCCCTCCAGCCCTCCCCTCCCACCCCACATCTCACCTGAACCTGAACTCTGCTCCCCGGGAGAAGGAGCTGGTGTGAAGTACTCCTCAGGGAGGGAGAAGCTGTCTGTCTCCTGGGGGGAGAAGGAAGCAGCTCGGCCTGAGGGACTCTGGTCCCTGCTCTCCAAAGAGGGGCAGACCCTCCCTACCCCTTCCTTCCCCAAGGGTGCACAGAACATACGGTCCCTGCAGAACTCCTGGCCCGGCCTGAGGAACGAGGGCTCCGGGGCTGCTGCAAAGGGATATGCTGGCTGCTCCGGGGCCTCCGCAGGGAAGGCTGCACACGCACAGGAGATGCTCGTTAGCGTGTGTCCGACAGGCTCCTCCCCACCGGTCCCCTACCCCTGGCACTTCACAGCACAGCCCTCAGAGCAGAGGGACAGGCACAGCCCCACGCCACCTAGTAGGTGTGCATCCTTACTCCAGGACCACTGAAATTCCATCACATTGGCATCCAAAACAACTGCCACCACCAGCAATGATAATGAGGATGGTGACTGTGGTGGCTAGCACTTACTGAGTGTTCCCTACGCCTCAGGCACTGTAGGGCTCTGGGTAAACTGTCTCCTTTATTCCTCAAAACAACCTGGATTGGTAGATGCCATCGCCACCCCATCGCACAGATAAGGGAATTGAGGTTCAGATGGGGCAAGTACCTGCCCAGCTCACATAGCTAACTGGTGAAGCTAAAACTATCTGAATCCAAAAATCTGCACTTTTAACCCACCAAAGCACACACATTCCAGAATTCTCCTTATATGTAAAAGCAGCAGGAAAAACGCCAAGCCCAACCACATGCCCAGAACTGTGACTCGGGAACCACAGCCTCCCAGTAGCCTGTCCAGCACCCTCCAAACTGGTTTTCTGGGCCATCTCCCTGATGGCCTCTTGCTGCCCGAGACCTGAGTGTCGTCATCCTCCTCTGTGCTCTCGCTGGGGTAGAGGTCCTGAACCAGGAGAATGAGGGCGAGGAGGTCAGCTGGGCGCAGGGAGCTGGCGCTGTGGCTGCAGAGAGAACAGGCAGCTGGTCAGCACATGCCTGGTGTCCCTGGTGCCCCACAGGTGGCAGTGGACAGGGACAGGTCAGCTAAGGGAGTCTCCAGTACGGTCTCGGCCCTTAAGGAGTTTATGAATGTGCCAGCTGACTTCATCCTTTTTGGAGGAAGGCAAGGTATAAATAAAATTAACTCATCAATTTTTAAAATAAAAGTTATATTAAGAAAAATCACCAAAGGGAAACCACCAAGAGACCTATCTTCCTATCAGGAAGTTCTAAATTCAGACACTGAGACAGTGTTACAGGAAGAAATAATTCAGAGAAGGGAGTGAGCTGAGAAGAGTTGAAGAATGGGAGAATCTGAGGCTTCACAGAAGAGATGGGTCCGGAGGGTTTTCTTGGCCAGGGAAGTGGTGCTTTTCAGAGGGGTGAGTGTGAGGGGCCAGGAGGCCTCGGGCTCACCTGGAGTAGAAAGCCAGCAGCTTGGAGTGCACGAGCAGGAAGGCGTGCAGGGCCTCTTCGCCAGCCCGTGCAGGGCTGGAGTTGACAGCCTGGACGACGTGTTGCTCCAGCGCCTCTATGCACAGCTCACAGAGCTGAGGGTGGATCAGCCGCTCCACAGCCTGACCACAGGTGGGCAGGGAGAGGAAGCCACGTCACCCACCGCCCTTTCCTGCTCCATGCCCTGGCTAGTGGGTACATTCATACTGAGCACACCGTGTGCCAGAAACTTGGGAATGGGGAGACTCAGACCAGCATGGTCTCTGCCTTCCTGAAGCTTACAGTCCGGTCATTAGACTCTAGTGGATGATTCAGACGATATGCAAAGAAACAGGCAAAATAAGTGCCAACTTTAATAAGTGCTGTGCAGGAAATATACAGGACTAGAGAAAGTAACATAGACCTACTCAGGTAAGGTGTACAAAGAAAATGTCCCTGAGGAGGTGACCCTTAAACTGATAGCTAAAGAACAAGAAATTCTGTCAGAGGAAGGGGTGTGGGGAGAATGCTGCAAGCATAGGAAAGAGCATATGCAAAGGCCCTGAGGTGGGGAGAGAGTCTGCAGCGGTGCTGTCCAAATGATATATAAGGCTTGCCCTATGCACTTCTAGTAACTACATTAAAAAGTAAAAAGAAGCAAATGAACTTACTTTTAATAATTTATTTTATCCAATATATCTAAAATATTATCATTGCAACATATATTATAAAATCCTTATTAATGGGAGGTTTGACATTCCTTTTTTGTACTAAATCCTCAAAATTCACTGTATATTTTACATATACTGCATAACTCAACCTAGACTACCTACGTTTCCAATGTTAACAGCCACGTGTAGCTAATGACTACCACACTGGGCAGAATTAAATGCAGAGTGCTCCTGAAACGGAAAGAAGTCCCAGGTGGCCAGTACACAGTGAGGGATGACAAGAGAGGCAAGAGACGAGGCTGGGGTGAGACAGGCAGTGGCAGATCATACGAGGCATGGAAGGCTTGAGAAGGAGTTTGAATTTTATATTAACTACTTTAGATTACCTCCAAGAGGCCTTTCCTGATGTCTCAGAGAGTTGACAGTGCCAACAGGAGTTGTGCCACTATGAACTCTGATGAGAAACCTAACAGGGCAGCACCTAGCATATTTTATTGTATTTGTTAGTATAAATGTAGAGCTGATTTCCTCTCAAGGGCAGGGTCTGTGTCTTTACTTATCTCGGTATTCCAGGGCCTGGCACACCTCCTGGCATAGAGTACGCACTATACGTTTATTGGAAGAATGAGAGAATAGGGCATGAAAACGAGTGCCTTCAGACCTATTTTCCAGTTCATTAATTCTCTTTCTAGCTATGTCTCATCTACTATTTAATCCATCCCTTGAAGTTTTCATTTTAACAATTATGTTTTTACTTCTAAAATATCTACATGAGTTCTTTTTAAGCTTTCATGTCTTTTAATATTTCATATTTATTTTATATTCTGTACCTAACGATTCTGGTATATCGAGCTCCTTGGACTCTCTTGGTAATTGATTCCCCTCTCACTCCTGGTGGCTTGTTTAATTGTGAGCTCATATTTGTTTGTTCTTAATCTGTCCCTAGGGCTTTCAAAGTATAGTTCCCAGACTAGCATAAGCGGCATACCTTGGAACTTGTTAGAAATGCAAATTCTAGAGCATCCCCACTTACCATTCCCAACTTAACGAGAAAAGTGAGGCCCAGCAACCTCTATCTAATAAGCCTCCACATGGTGCTGAAGCACACTGCAGAGTGAGAGCCACTGACCTAGAGAGAAATCGTGTTTGTCTATAAAGGGGCCAGGGAGTGCTACTGACAACGGCCACTTTAGCTCCTTGGATCTGGGCTTAACGTAGGAGTCGCAGGCTTAGCTCCCCACGGTGCTGCAGGCCTCGGTTTAGTTTTTTGGTTGTAGTGTTGGTGTCATCATCTGCACTCAGGCAAGCTTGCCTTTAGTGCTGCTTATTCTTCACCATTTTCCACTCCAGTTTCAGCTCAATATAATTTTAGGGGAGGGGTTCAGAGTTGAGGGGGCCTATCTTCAGAGGTTTCCATAATTTACTGTGAGCCTAAACACTGCTTTAAAAAGTCTGTTTTATCCAACATCCAGCTGTTTTATTGTAGAAAGGTCCATCAAAATATAACCCACCATGTGGCCAGAAAGAGCAACCCTCTAATGCATGAGTCCCAGGGTCTGTCTGTGCCCTCACTCATTGGGTTGGGGAGAGTCAGGGTCAAAACATGGTCTTAAAGCTGCACTCCCCTGCTGACCTGACACTCCCACGGCCTGAGGTACCCGCACCCAGTAGTCACCTCCACAGCGAAACATTGCTCCTGCTCCCGCAGGCGGCTATAGGTCCACAGCAGACTCTGGAAGTGCTCCCACACCTGGACACGCTGCTCCAGGTCTGGGGGCCGCAGCCTGGTGGGTAGAGTAGGAAGAACCCATGAAAAAGGTGGTTGTCCTCAACCTCAACCAAAGGAGCACAGTCCTAGCTCACCATCAGCGCAGGGTGAGCTCAGATGACATAACCAAATAACCGGGAGAGCCCAGAGAGCAGAGAGGGCTGTGCCCTAGCTGTGGAGTGGAGTGGTGGGCACAGAACGAGGAGCCAGACGTCTGAGCAAATCGCTGCTCTTCTCAGTCTCTCTCACACAGATATATAACACAAAGCCAGCTGGAGAGACCTGGGAAAGTGCCAGGAAGGAGCCAAGGGCAGAATGTGAATGGGCAGCTTCAAAGAGGCTGGGCATAAACTGCCTGGCCTCAAGGTGTTTAGCAAAAGATGAACAGGGTACCAGCCACGAGGACTCACTCCTTTCGGATAAGCTGGCCGTCCACAGTGACCAGCCCGAAGTGCACTTCGAACAGGTACTTGAGCACACGCAGCTTCTGCCGCAGGTCCCCCTCGTCCTCCGTGTGGTCTCCGTTGATGGCGATGAACAGGCATTCTCCAAACTGTAGGCACAGTAGGCTTATGTCAGCCAGTCCCAGGGGACTCTCCTCACCTGCCCTGATCCCTGGGGACAGTGGGGGAGGCTCAGGTTCCAGGGGATTTGGTAAGACACAGTTTCTGCCTTCTAAAGGAGTCTAAAGTTCAAGATCAGGCAGAAGCTTGTGGACTGTCCACGGAGCCAAGGGAAGAGGAACATGGGCCCCAGGACTCACACTTACCAGGTGAAGGACATACAGGTAGTTCCCTTTTTCTGTTGAGAAGCAGGTGTATGTGTCTGAGAGCTTCTCCAACATTGTCATGGAAGAGATGATGACTGGGGCTAGGAGGGTGCTGAGCTGGTCCTCCAGCGCAGGAAGCTGCAGGAAGGGACAAAAATAACACTGCTTAATGTGCCAGACACTGGGGACAAAGGAATGGGCAAAGCCTCGGGCCTAGTCACCAAGGGTCTTCATAGTTTTAGACCCGCTTGTGAGGGTATCACTGTCCTGACGTGAAGTGGGGCAAAAAGACACTGCCCCTAAACTTTGGATGGTAGTAGGAAGGCTGGGAAGGGCCAGCCAACTAATTGTGCTGTTCAGGCTCTGAATCTAGAAGGAACTGTTACAGGATTAGGCCATATTTCCACAGTGGAATGCCTTTGGTATTTAATGGAGAGCTGGCCAACTCTAAGAAAGTTCATTACATGTACCCAAGTCCATGCCCTCTGCTGCAGAAAGTCTACTGTGGGGAATGTGCCCTAAGGAAAATGATTGTACCCAAGTCCATGCCCTCTGCTGCAGAAAGTCTGTGGGGAATGTGCCCTAAGGAAAATGAACAGAGAGAGGGGCAAAGACACATGCACAATGTTCACTACAGCATCATTTACAACAGCAAACAACTGGGAAAATGTAAATGTCCAGCACCAGGGGAACAGTTAAATAATTGACAGTACATCTAAATGACAGAAGAATAGACAGCCACTTAAAATAGTGAAGTGTTTCCATGACATGGAAAATTCCTCTGATACAATGTTATGTGTTAAAAAATGGTTGTGAATACTCTGCATTTAAAAATGCACAGAAAAAACAAAGTGCTGAAAAAATATTAAGAAAGTCAACACTGTTAAAGTCATAACTTTTCGATGGAGGGATTATAAGTAATTTCCTCCCTCTACTTTTTATGTTTCTGTACTTTCCCTATTTCTATATAAAGCATACTTTTACTTTTTATAAGCTCTTCCCCCTTCCATTCCCACTGCCCTCCAAAATAAAGAACAAAACGAACCAAAAAGAAATTGGACAAGTGTGCTGAAAATCTTCAAGTAAAATGGGATAAAGCTGGTGGAATGAAAATAGCTCAAATTTGCAATTCTGGAATGTAAAGAAAGGAGGGAAACAGCTGATCTTCCCCAAGCTGATTCGGGAACCTTGACTGAAACATGGAGAAAGCAGAGTCCTAACTCTGAGCTGGTGAAATCCACAAGGAGCTGAGTAAGACCTTGCTTTGAAAAACAAAATAGGCACCCGGCCAGGGCCAATGTAAGCATTTGAAATATGAGCAGGACACATCACTGTGCAATGCTTTTCCTTCCAACATTCTCAGCATTCAGGAACCAAGGTCTGTGTCCAGCTGCTACGGTCTGTCAGTCAAACTTGAACAATGGTTCCTTTTCGTCATTTAGGTCTCAGCCTAGATGGCTCCTCTTCTGACCACCCTCAGGTCACTCTGCCCCAGTCACTCCCCATCCTATACCAGGTCTAACTTCTTCAGACCGTTTATCACTCCCTGAACTCATGGTGTTTATTTAGTTCCTCATTAAGCTTCTAATTCTATGAGAGCAGGGCATATTGCTATGTTCACTGCTTCGCTCCCAGAGACTGGCACATAGTAGGGTCTCAATTAATGTTTGTTGACTAAATATTCCTCCAGAGAGGCAAATGTTTGTTGAATTATTCACACACCACAATTTTCTTGAACTGTCATGAACAAATAATATTAATAGAAAAGTAACTTAAAAATCTAGATTGTATACAGCAACTTATCTTAAAAGTAGTAGCTTTTTCTGCAGGTGCAGCAAGAATTTTTTTTTTTTTTTTGGTGGGGGGAGATGAAAATATTGGTGTAGGCAGAGTGTAAAAGGACATTTTCCTTTATTAGTTGGTGGAGTTATAAAGTGGTACAATATCTTTAAATGGCTTTTGAAGCAATATTTTTATTTTGGAGAATTTATCTGAAGTTAATAATAAGATGTGGGATAAAATTCAAGCACAAATGTTCCCTACAGCAATAGTTACTGCAAACTAGAAGCATTATGCATGTCCAGTAACGTGGACATGGTTAAATAAATGATGATGCATTTATTCATACACTGAAATATGTTTCCACCAAGACATGCTTTTGAGAATACTTAACAAAATGGAATAACGCTTTAGATATAACGGCAAATGAAAAAAAACAGGAAACAAAACTGTAAATGTGGCATGATCCCAACTAGGTATAAAAGTTAAAGACCCAAAGAGAATATATTAAAGAGCTAATAGCGACGGGTAGTAAATTATGGATCTTTTAGAAACTATTTCTCTGTATTTCCAAATTTCCCACAATTAATTCATATTATTTATAAGATCAAGAAAAAATTGTATTGTATACATAAAAAATGAAACTTTAAAGACTATTTTCTTTATACTAATCATTTAGAAACTAAAAAGTCAGTTTATTAGTTAGTTCCTTTACTAGGTTTTTATTAAAGAGGAAGAGAAACGTTATCAAAAACTAGTTGAAATGATAGTTTAAGAACTGAAATACTTAAAAATTCTTAATTTAAAAATGATATGTGTTGACTGCTAAAAAGTAAAAGAGTCTAACAGGTAGATCTGTTTTTAGTTTCAATTAAAGCACTTAAATGTCCACAATCTCGGATGTCTTGTTTTATTCTTAAAGACTGTGACGAGAATGTGAGTAATGGGTAGGTCTGCTGGAGCAGGAGGGACCTTGAGAAGCAACTGGTCTGTGTTGCTTCAAAAATGCAAGAACTCCTCCACTGCATCCGCGATAGAGACTTTTTAATCCAAAACTGATCTGGAAGAATTTTTAAGCCAGTCAAAATAAATGACTCCTTTAAAATGTAGAGTGGAAATTGAGTGAAAATGACAACTACCTCTGAGTTGTAATATTAAGAAACTGAATGTCCAAATGCCAAAAAAAAAAGTTAATCCATACTTTACGCCATATTTAGAAAGTCAAGATAGATCATTAGACCTAATATAAAACTTAAAACTATAAAACTTACAGAAGAAAATATAGAGAAAATTCTTTGTGATATTGAGTTGAGCAAAAATTTCTTTGATATGGCACCAAAAGCATGAAAGCAAAATAAATAAATAAATAAATAAATAAATTGGATTTCTCAAAATTAAAAACTTCTCTTTGAAAGACACTGTTAAGTGGATGCAAAGACAAGACAAAGATTGGAAGAAAATATCTACAAAACATATCTAGTAAACGACTTATATCTAAAATACATAAGAAACTCTCAAAACTCAATAAAAACAAGAAATGATCAACCCAATAAAAATGGGCAAAAGATTTGACCAAATACTTCACTAATGAAGATATAAGGATGGCAAATAAACACATGAAAAGATGCTCAAAATCATTAGTCATTAAGAAAATGAAAATTAAAACACAATGAGAGTCTGTCATGAACAAATTATATTAATAGAAAAGTCACTTTCTATTAGATATTTATTAGAATGACTAAATTTAAAAATATTGATTGTAGCAAGTGTTATTGAGGACATAGAGGAAACGGAACTCTCACACGCTACTAGTGAAATATAAAATGATACAACCTCTTTGGAAAAGTTGGGCAGTTTCTTAAAAAGTTTAACATACAGCAACCTGATCCAGCCATGCTACTCTAGGGAGTTACCTATAAAAAGTGAAAACGGATGTCTAAAGAAAGACCCGTACCTGAGTATTCACAGCTGCTTTATTTGTAAGAGCAAAAACTGGAAAACCCAGATGTTATCATCAACAGATAAATGGATGAACAAACTACGGGGTACTGACTCAGCGACTGCTCAGCAATGAAAGGGAATGGACTGCCAATACACGCTACGACAGGAATGAATCTCAAAATAATTAGGCTGAGTGAAAGCAGCTAGACCGAACTAAAACGAAAACCAACCCCAAGTGTCTACTATATGATTGCATCATATAAAAGTCTATAAAAAACAAACTCGTCTACTGTGCCAAAAAGCAGATCTGTGGTTGCCTGAGTGCGGGTTGGGGCTGAAGGAGGATCACAAACTTTTGGGATGGGGGATATGTTCATTTTATTGACTGTAATAGGCTCGTAAGTATATGTATATATTAAAGTATGCCAAATTGTACACTTTGAGTATGTTCATGTTAAAGTGTGTCAATTATACCTTAAAATAGCTGTTATAAAAATTAATGTGTTCAGCTTATGCTACACTTTTTAGGTAGAGAAACTGGTGACATTAAGTTTCTGCTGCAGGACTAATATGCTACCTCTTCCTGCCCTCATTTAGCCCAGTGAGCTCTGGGCTGGGGTACGGGGTATGGTCACCGCACTCAAGAGCATCAAGAGGCCGTACTGAGGATGCGGGCAGAGTGTGAGGGATGCTGGGCTGGGCCAGGAGCGGGTGGCCAGGTTCTCTTGCCTCCTGGCCTTCTGGTAGTTCTGTGCTGTCTCCTCCCACCCATTCCTCCTGTCCTGCACTCACCTCTTGTCCTTCATTCTCTGACGGCCCAAACTTCAGTCGCAGACTCTCTTTAAACTCTTCATCTGTCCAGTAGAAGAGGACCTCTGCACCCTCTGTGGCCACCAAGATGCACTTCATCTGCCAGGAGGAGGCAAGGTCAAGGTCACCTCCCAGTCCCCACATCCCTAAGCTGGGCCAGAGCAAGGAAGAGGATCATAATCCCAGCAAACACCTACTGAGCCCTTACTGTGCACCAGGCACCACCGTGAGGGCCTTCCTGGTGTTACTCCACTGCACCCTCACAACGACTTGATAAAGTAGGAACCTTCAGCTCCTCCCATTTTATAGAGCAGGATGTGATGCAGCTTGAAGCAGCAGAGCTGGGATCCAGACCCAGGCCTGTCTGATGTCAAGGCCAGGGCTCTTTCCTCTGTGTTATCCAGCTTTCCTCACCATAGCATCAGACCCATCACAGCCCTACTGGAACCAAACGGAAGGAAAGACCCAGCTCTCGATCTGGACACGGAGTCAACTGCACAGGAGGCAGACTCGTAGCACCAGTTAGAGCCTGGTCTGGACTGGAGGGCGGCTGGTGTACTTCCCTCTGGGTAGTCCAGAAGTGTGTTTCTCAAGTCAAAATCAGCTCCAGAAGACGTGATGCAAAGCCCACAAGGAGTAGATTCAGCATTACAGGAATTTCATTCAAAAGTTCCTCCTGCTCTGGGTGGAAATGGAGGCTGCCTGACCTTGTTCATGTTCATTTTCACACCTGCTTAGCTGCTGCGTCCTCAGCCACAACCACTCGAGTATCGTCTGTGCTACACATTTTAATGCTTGATTATACAAAATGAGTTCTATTATTCACCAAGTAGTAGATTCTTAAGCCAGAGCTTCTGCCACTGTGCCTTGTTCCCCTAGGGCGCAGCCAATCAGTGATCCTCTCAGCCTTGGGGGGCAGTCTGCCCAAGCCTGGTGAGGCCAGAGCTCTGAGACCAGCTGCTTGCAGCTGAGAGAACCCCAGGCAGGGGCTACACACCTCATTGTGTACCTCAGTGTGCCACACAGACATGATCATGTACATGTGCTAAGACGTGACAATGCTTAGCAAGCTCTGTTCTGACTTTCATGAGCAGAGGTTCAGTTTCCTCAACATAGCACCTTGAGGTCTTGGACTCGGTTACACTCCTTCGGATATCCTACGTGACCAGCTTAGTGGCACTTACTGAATTCCCCTCAAATCTCTGCTTGGTTTATTAACTCCAACTTACAGCACCTGGCCCCAAGGTGTTTCTGGCACAGTGAAAAAGAGAGAATGGAGCCTAACGCCATGGAATTGTTAAGCACAAGGCAGAGACTGAGAGAGCAACGCAGTGCGAAGAGGTTGCTGATTAAGGTTAGGATGACCTGGAAGAAGTTCACCTGGGACTCCAAGGTGAGTGTGACAAAATTGAGGACTCGAGGGACCAGCCCAGTGGAAAGGGAGAGTAAAGGTTGGAGAATGGTGGGCTATGGAGTGGAAGCTGAGGTCAAAAGCAAAAAGCCCCTGTAGGCTAAGGGTGTGGGAAGTGACGTGCTGGTCATAGATGGGTGAGGTAAGGTTCTGGAGGCCAGTCATCCTGGTGTGGGGTAATGAGGGCCCACACCGTGGTGGAGGCCAGGAAAAGAAAGAGCAGATTCAAGAGGTGTAGCTTAGAGACATAGCAGGCCTTGATGACCACCTGGATGCAAGGGAGGAAGGAGAGAACAGGCAATGGTGACAGGAGGATGTAGAGCTGGGCAGGGGGTAGGGAGGAGAGGGCTCTGCAGAGCCCGCGAGTTCACTGCTTGCCTCACTCTGTCCACCTCCCACAGCCCCACAGTAGTCCCAGAGTGGGTGCTGCCTGCCTCTGTCTGTTCCAGGTTGGGCAGGATCATCTACCTTGGCAAGGAGCAGAGCGGAGCTTCCAGCAAGCCAGAGGTTCAGAAAGGGCTGCAGTACCCAGACTCGGTGACCAGCTCATGGAGAACAGCATAGCATCCTGGGTCCTGCAAATGCTTAAAACAGAGAGGTCATGAGGGCAAGCACAGGTCCTCGTTCTGACTGTTGCCTGTTTCTGGGAGTGGACAAGGTAGTGAAGGACAGAGTGGTTAAAAGTCTCTTTCTGGCTGTGAGGCAGTCTGCTCAGAACATTCTTACCATGGCCAGGAGGCGTCTGAGTGCCCTGTATCTGTCCCACAATGGAGAACAGGCACCCAGCCAGCACAGTCCTTCGGACATAACAGGAGCCCATGAACAATTCCCACGGTTTCCTTCCAAGCACTCTTATTTCACTGAGGGTCGCTCAGAGCCACGGTGCGTTCAGCAAACCCGCCCTGAGCAGCCCCAAGGAGTGTGCTATGACCAGGTGGGTAGGGAAGGAGTCCCAGCAGGAGAGGTGTCCTGGGAAGATGTGATGAATGGCAGTAAACCAACACAAAAGGAACCTGAGACCTGGTTCTAGTTTTGGCTTTGCCAAGGCACTTAAACCTCTCTGAGCCTCAAACTCCTGCTGTGAAACCCAGGAAAAACCGCCTGCTACACCTTTCTACGGGGTCATAGTGACTATAAGCAGGCAGACCGCCCTTAGCAAACTCTGGTTTTCTTAACATAGAGCGGGTCTTTATCCCTATTTCCCAGTTACCCTTGGTCAAATAACAGGAAGAGCTAAACTGTTTCCAGATCTTTCACATTTTGATGATTAAAAGACAGGAACAATATAAAGCTTTAGCTTAATTAGGAAATTAAACATTGTAAGCAAATTAGAGACAAGAAAAGGCTGTTAGAGGATCAACATGTTTTGCAACATAACTGAGACTTCATACAACGCCAGCATGACTGGCCTTAAAGTCATCTTCCCATAAAGATGGGGATGCTTTTTAGCGGACATTAGGTTCTACTTTTTTTAATTCCAAAAAGGCTGATGGAAAGAGAACCTCGCTGGAGTCATTTTGCGGTTTCCCTGTTCTCCTGTCTATCCCGCTCTCAGGAGGAAAGACCAGATTCACTGCAGCTCCAGATGGCGCCGGCCAGCCTGGGAGAACCCCCGGGGCCCATTTGCATCATCCTGCCCAGCAAACCGCCTCTACCGCCGGCCGCTGCTCCTGCCTCCCCGCAGCTCCGTCTTGGGCTCCGCTCCCTCGGAGCCCGGGCCTTGCCCCAGCTGGGCTGGAGGACCAGGAAGGGGAATCCGCAGGGCGCGAGCGAGCAGTGGGCCGCGCGGGGCTCCTGCCCAACGGCAGCCTTCCTGTTCGTCCCACACTCTACGCAGCAGTTTCGCCCCGCAAACACCGCCGAACCTCACAGCTACCCTGGGAAGGAGGCCCGGCTTGTGGCAGCTGCCCCACTTCGTAGCTGCAGACACTTTGGCTCTGAGAAGTGAAGCGACGTGCCCCCGGCCACAGCAGCGGGATGGGTGAGGCTGGGGGTGGGACCCGCTCCCGCGCTTCCAGGGGTGCTGCGCGGGGGTCCGGGAGGAAGCCTGGCCGCGCACGGAATGGGCAGCCGAGGCCCGGGCCGTCCAGGAGGCCCACGTACCCGATCGTAGCCCAAACACCAACCAACCTGCCCCCGGCCGGTGGGCAAGCTTCCGGGAGGGCCCGCGTGACCTCCCACGTGACCGCCCCGCCCGGGGAGGGGCTGGAAGCCGCGACTCTGCGCCTCAAGTTCGAGCCCCGCCCCGCCTTGCCTAGCTTTGCTTCTGCGGGCCCTGCAGTTCGCTCATGGCTGATCGGCTGCCAGGCCCAGTGAGCTCTGACTCCTGCCATCCTGTGGCCACCTTCCCCCTGTCATCAAGGAGGGCGCCGAAGTCAAAAGGATTGGAGAATTCGCCAGCAGCCGTCCAGGGCACCTGCTGCGTCCGGCACTGTGCTAGGCCCTTCCCCTTGCCTTAGTTCAAGCGATTCCCTCCTGAGGCACAGGAAATGTCCCCATTTAGCCTCATTTTACAGAAGAGGAAATGGAGGCCCAAAGAGAAGAAACAACTTGACAAGGGGCTGAGTTAAGAATGAGAACCCAGGTTTTTACCCACCATCTGGCTTTAATTACTGACTGTAGTCCTGGGGCAAGAGCTCCCTGTTCCCCTGGACTCCTGGGGAGGAGACAGGCTGCTGAAGGGCCAGTTTCCACTAGAGGGCCTACGCTGGAATTTCTTTTTAAGGATTCTTAATCCATCTAGGCAGAGAGGGGAATACACATATGGGCTTTGTTTTGAACCTGTGTTTGCAAGATATTCTTTAATCGTGTGTATTCGTAGTGGCTGATGGTGTTGGGGGAACTGATGGTCAGGGAAGGAACTAAATCCCCACCCAAATCACCCCTCAGTTCCATGGTGCCTCCTGGGAGCTTCGAGTGCAGCCCAGTAGGGGAGGCGTTTTGGGGACTGCCTGGGGAACAGCAGATTGAGCACCCTCTGGGGAAAGGCAGGGAACAAGAATTAATGCCTCCATCACTTGTAGATAAAGCATCACTTCCCCTCCCCTTCCCCCATTCATTGCCTACCCCTGGCAGCCCACCTAGGGCCCAAACTTTCCAACTCTCCTTCTACAGCACAGGTACCTACCTCTCTCTCCAGCCCACAGTTGAGATCATCTGGCTGTGCACTCTTTATCCTGTTATTTTCACTCACCATGTTTCTCTCGTGTCGAACTCTTCGTAAGTATGAATTTCAGTGGTTGAATAAATTCCATCAAATGGATACATTGCTGTTTATTTACTGCCCCTAGGAGTCCATTTCCCACCAGCAATGTATGAAGATCTCAATTTCTCCACATTTTCATCAATACTTGTTATTGTCTATTTTGATTTAGCTATTCTAGTGGGTGTGAAGATAGCTCATTGTGATTTTGATTTGTCTTTCTCTAACGACTAATGATGTTCTGCATTTTTTATGTGCTTTGCAACCACTTTATCTTCTTTGGAGAGATGTCTATTCAAATCCTTTGCCCGTTTTAAAACTGTCTTTGTATTATTGAGTTGTAAGAGTTCTTTATATATTCTGGATACAAGTCCCTTATTAGATGTATGATTTGCAAAAAGTTTTCTCTCATTATGTGGCTCGTCTTTTCACTTAATGGTATCACTTATAGCACAAAAGTTTTCTTTTCAATTTTGATGTAATCCAACTAATCTATTTTAAATTATGTCCAGATTTTTGTGTCAACATAAGTTTTCATTTCACTTGGGTAAATACCTAAGAGCGGGATGCCTGGGCTGTATGGGAAGTGCCTGTTTAAGTTTATATTAGGCTGGTGAACTATTTTCTGAAGTGCATGCACCATTTTACATCACCCTGAGCAATACTGAGAGTTTTAGTTGTTCTATAACCTCCCTTGCATTTGATATTGTCCTTTTTTAACTTTAGCTATTCTAGTAGGTGCCTCCTACTAGAGTGGTCTCTCATTGTGCTTTTCATTTCCATTTTCCTAATGACCAATAATGTGCAACTTCTTTTCATGTGCTTATATGCCATCTATATCTCTTCTCTATTAAAGTTTTCAAATCATTTGCCCATTTTTAAATTGGATTGTCTTGCTTCTTATTATTTATGGGATTTCTTTATGTATTGGAATACGAATCCTTTATCAGATACCTGTTTTACTTTTTTTTTTTTCAGCCTGTGGCTTTGCCTTCTCATTTTCTTTACAGTGACTTTCGAAGAACATAAATCTTTGTGCTTTTTTGTGTACCATCTAAAAAAGTCTTTGCTGAGCCAGGATCACAAAAATTTTCTCCTCTATTTTCTTCCAGAAGTTTTATAATTTTAGATTTTGCATTTGTTTATATTCCATTTTGAGTTGGTGTGAGATGGCATGACAGGATTCATTATTTTGCATAGCTGTCCAACTTTTCTAACTCCATTTGTTGAAAAAAATATCCTTTCTGCACTGTATTACTTTGACACATTTGTCTCAAATAGATTGACCATATATGTGTAGATCATTTCTGGACTCTCTGTTCAATAAATTTAGAACGATTCAGGTTACATTAAGGATTTTATTGATTATCTTGGTTTTTGGTTTCATCAATTTTCACTGGTTTTCTGGTTTTTATACCACCCATTTCTGTACTGATATTTACTATTTCCTTTCTTCTGTTTACTTTGGATTTAATTTGCTCTTCTTTTATAGTTTCTTAAGGTAGAAACTGACCCATTGTTTTGAGACCTTTTATCTTTACTAACAAAGAAGTTTACTGCTATAAATTTCCTCCAAGGTGATGCTTTATCAGCACCTACAACTTTTGATATGTTATATTTTAATTTTCAATTAGGTCAAAATGCTTTCTAATTTTTCTTTTGATTTTTTTTTGATCCATGGGTTATTTAGAAGTATGATATTAATTTCTAAATATTTGGAGGTTTTCCAGTTATCTGTCCATTTCTATTTCAATTCCATTTGGTCAGAGAATATGCTTTGCGTGACTCGAATTCTTTTAAATTTATTGATAGCCTAGGATATGGTCTATCTTGGTGGTGCCCATAGCAGTCTTGGAGGCCAAGTGCTGAAGATGGCAGAGAACCCACATCAGAGAACTACATGGAACAGAACCTCTGTACACCTTACTCCATTCCCACCAATTGAATTTTAGTGATCTATGAGCTAGAAATAAACTTCAGTTGTGTTAAGCCATTGAAATTCTGAGGTTTGCCCATGATTGCAGCTAACAGTTATTTTAACTAAGATAGACAATGACATCTAACTTGATTGATAAAATTTAATTTCCATTTGGAATATTTGAAGGAAAGCTTGTTGGGGAGACAGGAGAGGGAGAGGGCAGCATACCATGAAATCAAAGATCCCCAGCATGTGTTAGTTCATCAGGCAATCAGTCTTGAGATCAGGCGTAGCACGGACAACAGGGGCCTCCCTCTCCCCACAGAACACGCTGAGAACAGGAAGTGAGCGTATTCACATTTTATTACTTACAAATCATTATCTCAAAATATAAACTACCTCATGGATCCAAACTCTCTGCAATCACCAGACTCATATAAACCTTAATATAATCTGTTTTCTGGAAGAAAATATTAACACGTGCTAAAATCCCCTGTACAGAGAAGAAACTTTTCCCGGGAGGTGTCCCTGCACTCATTTTGCCAACTTCCAGATGAGTAAAACTAAGGTTTCTTTTTGCTTTTTTCCAAAAATATAATTTATTACATAACATTTACAACTTGAAAACGAATCCTAGAATATGTTCATGAATAATAATTAGAAGAGTAATGTTCATGACAGGGGCTGTAAAGAGGGGCGCCCTTTTCTCTGCTGGGTACATGGGACAATGGGATTCATTTACCAGCCAGGCGTTTGGAACTTGGTCAGCTCCTCCCAAATGCACTCAGGGCTCTCGGGGGCTGCTCTAATTTGCTGTCTTTTGGTATTTTGGCTTTCTTGTTTTAGAGAGAGATTTGCAAATACTACCCGTGGGGCAATGATTAATGGACTTATTATTTAGTCTGGGAGGGTGAAGAGAAACTTCCAGACTTCAGGGTGGTGAGGGAGGAGGAGCAGTGTTCTGAAGATGGTACATGTGTGGGTGCTGAGGGGTTCCCACTTACCTCCAGGACGGAATATCAAGAGTCATTATCACCTGTGGTGGGTGGTGGTGATGGGAGTGGCCCTTTAAATTGTTCTACAGAAAAACAGAGGGAGCGGAACAGACCAGGCGAGCCACTTGTGGGCCAAAATGAGCCTGAATTCAAAATTCTACAGCCAAAGCTGGTCACAGCCTGATTCACTGCTCATCAGAGTTACTACTTGGCTTCCTTAAACCCAAGATCAACTGTCCTGGGGGAAGGCACTGCTAGGGTTCTCTGTAGGCACACATAGGTCGTTAAGAAAGCTAGCTGTGGACAACACATAGATGAGAAAAAGTTGGCCACAATCAGTCCAATGAGAGAGAGCATGGTGCAATGAGAGCAGGCTTTGGAACCCCACAGATCTGGGTTCAAATTTCAGTTTGCCACTCTATCTGCATGGTCTTGGGAAAATTACTTCACGGTCCTCCCCAAATATTTACTAGCCAGGACTGGGAGAGGAAGGAACAGAAGCTGCTGTGTTCCTGTTAGTAGAACTCAGAGGCAGTGATTGTAATGTGCCAGTCGTTCGGGCCTTATAATAACTGTTTCTCTTTGAGAACCCCTTGCTATCTTATTTCCAATTCTAGTACATCCTAAGTAAAGACAGCAAACATTTCTACAATCAAAACTTAGTTCCCTCTTAGTGGGCTCCAGGCTGGGAACAGAGTGGCTGGCAGAGGCGAGACTGTGGAACTGGCGGGTAAGTGAGTGGAAAAGAGCGACTGAAAGTGTCCACGCTGGGCAGTGGTGCTGAGGTTGGAGATGGAGGGATGTGGAGAAGCCATGCTACATAAATGCTTATGCTCCTTCTTCCCCTGCCCTCTCCAAACCATGTCTTTATTATTTTTGTTTGCTCTATTGATATTCCACATTTTTAAAGTCTTTCCCTGTCCAGAGTTTTTATTTCAGAGGGATCCACCTGATTCACCTTTGCTTCTGCAAAAATTAAACACTACCCTTTTGTTTTCAGAAATAAAGCTGGTCTCAGTGGATTTCCAAGGTGAATCCTGCAGCTGCATCCATCCCAAACACAGGGGCCTTGAGTGCCTGTGGTAGAGCACACCTGTAGATGCTGGGTGTGGCATGGACCATGTGGCAGCTCAGCAATTCACAGTCCTTCTGGTCCTCCCTGCTGCCCCACCCCAGGAGGCTGCAGAGGCTCCCTGATGCCGAGAGCCAGTGGGGGCCTCTTGGGCAGAATCCACCAACAACCTCTGCCCTGTCAGAGATGCCAGCCTAAGGCCCATCTACCCAGGGATTGCCAACTGCTGGGGAGGAGCTGGGAGCTGCAGAGGGCCCTCGGGAATTGCGGTTCTGGGAGTCCCAGGCCTCTGTCTCATTGTAGCCCAGTTCTGGTATTTTCAAGCTTTTCTCCAGCTGGAGATAATGCCAACATCTCACAGTTGCAGCTTTTTCAGGGCACTAGAAGAACTGGGGCACTCTCTCCACATAACAATGAGAATTTGTTCTGAGCCTTTGCGATAAGAAAGGAGAAAGATAATCATTCCTAGAGGCAGAAGGAACAGAAAATCATCTCAACAAAAGGCATGGACTTCTCATTATACATTATCACGCTTTCAAATAAGCACTTCCATTATTTGGTTTAAAATAAAGTAGTTCTTAAGTTTTAGATTATCTTGGCCATGTCTTGTTTTAGGTGAAACATCTGATCTGGGGAGGCTGGTGGATGAGCTCTTTTGTTCTGAGGCCCAGCCTGGCAAGCTGTTCTCTTGATGTAGATTGCGATGCTGAATTTTGCTACAGGTTGTCTTTTGGGGAGTGTGTAATAGGGGAATCCATTATAAGAAGCAACCCACTCCCACTTATTTGGTCATTACTCCCACCCCAAAATGAACAATCTGGAACAGATGCCCTGAACTAAAACCACTACGGAATGTGACGTTTTAGTGAATTTCTCGGTTTCCTTTGAACAATGCAAAGATTTCTTCCACGTGACGGTTGCAAAATTAGAACTGCAGGACACCAAAAGTAAATTTCGGCGATTCCCTTCTCCCTTTTCATTAACTAAAAAACAAAACACACCTCTTAGGAGCAGCATTTAATACACAGAGAAAGACAACGGAAGCAGGGGCTGCCTATATACTGCATGTGTGGAGGCTTAGCGGAGTCAACACTCATTTACAGAAAGTGTGTCCAAATGGAGCTCTGGAGGTCCCGGCTGCACTGAATTAGCAGAACCTTTGAAAGGGTGAGTGGGTGAGTCTGTGAATGGGCAGCCCTTGAGCTTGGTGGTTAAACGAACAGACTGGATTATTCTGAGCTCAGCAGGCCATTGCCCTGGGTGACCCAGGTCAAGCTGTGGACCCTCTCTAAGCCTCATCAGAAAAACAGGGATAATGACAGCAACTCTTTCAGGGGCTTCTACCTATGTGGAGCAAACTAGCCCAGGGCTAGTTTGTGACTGCTGTGATCTCTGGTTACTTTTGTTATTTATTATAAGGGGCTTTGCAGCTGTGCCTGCACCAGTATACAGAAGAGATTTTGATATTTGCACAAATTTGTAAAAGTTTGGGGAAACAACCTCTTAGCCTCTCAGTTCTCTTTTTTGATCTCTCCCTCACTTTGGCCTGTCCTCTGCCACTCCCTTCCCCTCCTTTCTCTCTCTGCTCCTCTCAGAGCTGAAGCTTCAGGGGGAGGCGCCTGCTTCTGGAGAAGAAGAGGCCTCTCTGGGTAGCCCTGTCGCTGCTCTTCTCTTTCTAGATGCTTCCAGACTGAGCCACCCACTGACTGGGTCCAACCAATCCTTAGTCTCCTCTTTTCTTGCTGTTCCTCCTGTGTGCTATTCCTCTGTACCTAATAACAAACCTGTCAAAACCAAGTCGACTAATTTCCTTACACATAAAACAGCCTGTTGATGTCCCTCTCCAAATTCCAGTTCTCCGCACTGAGCATCCTCTACCTCTTCTCCTGGCTGTACTTCCTCCTGTCTCTCCCCTTACCATTCACTTTGCAGACTTGGCCCTAATCGTGGACTCCCTGGGCATCTTCGGCAGTCTCCCTGGCCTCTGGCCCCAGCGACCCTGCCCCTCCCCTCCATTCCTATCCTTTCACGACAGCAGAAATTGTATCATTCTCTTAGTTGGAACCCTGTGACATTGTCAAATAGCTCCTTCTTTTGAAAAAGCATCATTATCTCACTTATCTTGACAAAGAAAATCACATCCACAGAAGAGAAAGTCATTTTAGTCGTGGATGGTTCGCAAAGACCCACATACCCCTTGCATCATACAGAAGGTCCTCACCGTGAACTTTGGCTCACTCCGCTTGCCCCCTGGGAGCTTCTCACCTACTATTCCACGGTTTCCCCAGCAGACCTGTTTCCAGAATGAAAGCTTTGTTCAGTGCTCAAATAAGCTGGTCTGGGACAGGAGGGACTTGGCCAAATTTAATGACCAGATTAAATCTCTGCCTAGTAAATGCATAGAGAGGCACACAGCTACTTGGGAAGAGGAATAAAGTTTGGGGTTAGTTGTGTCTTACAGTGAGGACGTTTGATTTACACCTCTGGTTTTTGTTGTTGTTGTTGTGGTTGTTGTTTTTTAATGGTTTTGGTCAATGTAACCATTAAGGGCTTACCCTTAATAAATATTCTCTCAAATTTAAGGCAGGTCTAATTATTGGCTTTGTTCATTTGGGGTGTGTGTGTGTGTGTGTGTGTGTGTGTGTTTGTACATGTGTCATGGTAGTTTGGTGTGCTTTCTCTTTGTACTAAAAGTCTCTCCTTCACAGCCACATGACAAATGATGATTACTTTTCGTGGTGCCTAATATATTGCCCTCCACTCAATGAATATTGTTACCTGACTCCCATTCCAACCCTGGGGGAATCAGGATTCACAGAGGAATAGAACCTTCTTACAAAATCTGGAGTATGATTGCAATTTTACTTTTGAAGCACCCGCTTCCCAGAGGCATAGCTGGTGATTGATGCCACTGTCAGAAACCCAGAGGCACACACTCATATACACCAGCCGGAAAATTACATAAACAGCTCACCCAGCAGGCCAGTGCTAACTCACCCACTTGCTCCCTTCTGGGAAGAGAGCTGATGGGAAACCCAGGGCAACAGCGGGGAACAGGCAAAGGAAAGGAGTTGAAAGAGGATCGGGCTCTTGAAGGTCCACAGGGTTTTTTTCTTGCTCATCTTCTGCTGAGGGCAGCAGCCACAGGTGAGGGTGTGGAGTTCTACTGCTGTGTGACCGGCATCATGGGTGGTTGTTTCATTTGTCCCGGGAGTGTGCTGCGAGCTTGTTTTCATGGTACGCGCACAAGGATACATACAGCTCTACACACATACCTTCATCCTCATATAGGTACAGATGATGTCCGCATTTTCCTTTGGGGTGAATGTGACCTACGTAGGCTAAGCTCATGCTATGACATTTGTCTTTTTGGAGAGCAAGTCTGTGTTGATTCCAGCAGGATGTGGCAGCAGGGACTGGTTTGATGCTAAGAAGATGTCTGAAAAATAAGGAGACTATTGGGGCGGAGGAGTGGAAAGCAGTCCAGCTGGCCCGGGGGCACCTTGTGGGTGTGGGAGTGGTTTATCGGTAGCGGCAGGCCAAAGCGTTGACATTCTTGACCACATAGAAGCCCATGGTGACTGGAGGGATGACCAATGTCCGGCCAGCCCGCAGGGGGCGGGGCTTCAATTCTGGGAGAGTCCCATCGTCCACCATCACTAAAGGCTGGCCGTTCAGCTGCACTGACCTATGGTGAGGAAAAACGGCACGAGACTCATCATTGCATTATAAGGGAGCCACGCAACAAAGCCTGGGCAGCCCCCCGACTGTTGCCAGCCTGTCTGATATGTGCACAGCTATCACTTACTGACACTTGCTATGCCCAGGCTCTCACCTGGGGGCTTTATTTTAATAATGAATTCAAACATCTCAGTGACACTCTGAGGAAGGAACAGTCATTATCCCATACTACCTGCAGGTGTTAAGTGATTTGCCCAAGGTCATAGAGCTTGTAGGTCTGGGAGCCAGGATTTTGAACATAGGTAGTTCAGTTCCACAGACACATCATTTAGACAAGTGACAAGTCTCTGTGATGCAGAAGCTGAAAAGTGTCTCAAGCCTATTTTTTTGAAAATCAGAATAACATGTCAGTTTAACTTTTCTACTTAAAGAGTTTTTACCAGTGGAATGATGCACATGCTTAAAATAATTTTAAAAATCTCCTACTTAACTCACATTTTTAATTTATTTGACGGATTAAAGAATTGACATCATATTACTTGTATATGTTCTGAAGGACAAACATACCTAACAACTCTACATTTTCTAATCTAAGAATGAGTTTTCATACCTAATATTCAATGGATGTTTCTATTTTAGCAACACAACAAAGGAGGTGATAAAGTGAGCATTTGTATCACAATTCACCCATCTTGCCTGCTTCACTCTTCCTGTGTACCCCGCATCTGCAACCCTAAGAAGGGAGCCACATACGTAGTGCGCTTAGAGAGTGAAGGGCAGCAGACCACTCATCCTGTGGTACATCCTGATTCTGGCCTGGGGTACAGAATCCAGACAACTTCCCAGCTGTTCCTGACTGGGGAGTGACTTGTATAGCCATGTACCCAGGTCGAAGCTCAGTTTTAAGGGTCAGTAGAATTGGCCAGAACCAGGCCACCAGTGGGAAAAAAGGCTGTGAGTTACCCTCAGAAAATCAACATTGCATAGTGCAGTTTCTGGGCTGTGCCCAACCTCCAGTGTGATAGCATTGCAGTGATATCATCTGAGCTGTAAAGAGAATTAAGTGTTAGAAATTTATACAGAGGTCTTTGTTTAGTGTTCTTTCTGTGCTGTGAGTGATAAACAGGTTTAGAGAGAGATAATCAGACCCATGCCCAATAGAGCAGTGAGTTCCCAGAGATAAGTGTGTTGTAAATTGCTCCCAATGGAGAGTGAGGCAGAGAAGCAGCTCCAGGCCTGGGACTGCACAAGTAAGTTTGGGCCCAGTTCAGATCTGACAGGCCAAAGCGGGCAGCCTCCTTCCTCTGGTTGGTATGACTAAGGAACCAATGAGTGAGGAGGGGACTCCTCCATGGACAGTCAGGCCTGCTTCTGGGAGGTGCAGGGGTGAGAAAGATCTGAAGCCGAGTGTCGACCTCACCAAATACGACCTCACCAAATACGCAAAGAGCTTTTGCTCCACATTCGAGCAACCCTCTCTGGTGAAGACGGACTACTCACTAGAGTGGGAGGCAGGGTGAGGAGAGGAGGCTTTTTTTGTAAAAAAAGAAAGCCCAGACTTGTCTTCACAGTATATCTTCATTATTTGATTTCAGGTGGTGTGACTATCCAACAACCAGACCTATGCACTGTCAAATGCAATTTCAATAATACTAATGAATGTTTCCAAAGCATACTCAAATTTACACCACTTCTTTACTTGAAAACCTTCAATGGTCCCTCTTACATACAGAATTAGGTAATGCCCTTTTAGATTCAGAGGATCCCAGAGTGTTGGCATCTTTGGGTTCTGGGAAGTGCAAAACTAAGTGTGATAGGCAAGCCTTTTAATTTCTATACTAATAATGAGTCGTTATTTTGGAACAGGCCTCATGCTGACATCCTTCTTGGTTGGTTAAAAAGCTAGCACAGGTGTGTGGAACCAGGAGCATTGACAAGATTCTGGACTGGTGTCTAACTCTAGGAACCTGACCACTAACTTGCTAGAGAGCATAATGAGCCATATAAGTGGGAGATGGTGTTTTTGTTATTCTTCTTTCTTTTCTTTTGCCGTTTTGATGGGTAAACTTTTTAATCCTTGTACTTGACTGTTCTGTGGCACTGACAAGTTTCATGCCTCTTTGCTTAAAGTCCTCTCTTCCTTTGGCTCCTGTGTTCAATTTTGCTCCTTCATTTCTGCATGTTGTTTCCATCTCAGGGGGACTGTTCTCTTCTACCTGCCTCTCAGATGCTGGGGTTCCTGGTGCTTTGTCCTTGGACATCTTCTCTTCTCACATGATGTACTTCCCCGGGTGATATTACCCACATCTGAGACTTTGATTATCCACATGTCAGATGCTTCCCAAACCTGTATCTCTAGCCTAGATCCTTCTCACGTGTGTATCCCTATTTAGCTATTCTATAGGGACATCAGAGTCACTATGTCCAAAGTCAAAATCTTCTACTCAAACCCTGTTGTTTTCACTGCCTTTTCATCTTTGTGCTGGAACCACCATCTGTCCAATTACCTAAGCCAGAAAGCTGAGAGTCATCTGAGACTTCTCTCCCTGTTCCTATATCTAAGGTCACTAAGTCCAGGTGAATCTACATTTTAATATTTTCTGAATCTGCTCCTTTCACTGCTATTATTGTAGTTTAGACCCCACCCCCTTGCTTGCCAGATTGTCGACAGAGAAATCTGTTGCCTCACTGCTTCAGGCTCTCCAAATCCCCACCATGTCCACTTGAATATGGACAATGACGCCCAGCTCCAGCTACCTCTCCAGTCTCAGATCCTGCCGGTATTCTTACTCCAATGTTAACTAACTGTGCATCACAGACCTCTGGGTGTGGGTGTGGGATGAGCTGGCAGTTATTATAAAGATTTCATCAATATATGCATGAATGAAGACTGTTTTACAATAAAACATTGTTAAGTCTCGCATATAGATGAGATATCTCTCAAATGAAAATGTAAGTAGATATTGTTGGGAATAAAATACTCAAGTTTATTTAAAAGTATAATAAATATTTTTCAAATGTGAATGCCAACAGACACTGTTGGGATTAATAAGATACAAGTTGATTTAAAACTGTAATAAAATTCCCAATAAGATTTTTTTGGGAGTACGAGGGTATCTTGTGCTTTTTTCAAAAAAGGAATTTTAAAAGGACAATTACTACAGTGTGTAAGGGCCATGACATCTGTTGACGTTACAAAGGAACCCTTCTACGTTTGAAGAGGCCAGCGCCCTTGTCCCAGCAAGACCAAATTAAATGACTTGCAGTTCGGCTTCCAGGTGGTTGCATATGGACCTCCCTCTGTTGCACTAACTACTTCGGGCCTTGTAGAGCCTGCTCAGGTGTTGCTCCCTCTGAGGAACCTTCTCTGACCCCTGGGTTAGGAGCCCTACCTCTGGGCTCTCTTGTACCCAAAACTTACCTATAAGCACCTCATGGGGTTTTAGTGTTTTACTCACCCTGTCCCTCCCTGGACTGTGAGCTTGGTGCGGAAAGGGATCGTGTCTTTCGTCCCTAAATCCTCGGTGCCTAACAAGATGACTGGCAGAGACTGGAGATGAAATATTTTCTGAACAAGTGAATGGACTTTTGAGGCTCTTTTGCATTATTTCTGGTCTTGCTGAGTCGAGTTTCTCCAGCTCTTGGAGGCTCACTGAGTGTCTTTATAGATTTCATTAACATACCAATTACTCTTGTTCTCAGTGGCTCTCAGATGTTAGCTGAGACCTGAATAATGGCTGATTCTCCAGTCATTCACTAGATACCTTATCCCAACCTGACACGAGGCCATTGATCATTGTTAGTGTTTTTCATCCTTAAAAAAAAGATCTATATGACCATCTCTTAGCTAAGCCAATATGAGTTAATTTCGTGAGACCTCAAGTCCTCATAGGTCCTTATCTACAAAGTCCCTTCATTATAAAGATGGACCGTGTGCTTTACTACCTCCATTCTATTTTTCTTGCTTACATTTCTCTTTTAATATTTATCCTATTTTCCAGTGAAGTCATTTCAAGCTTAATATTACAAGCTTCCATTTTATGCATTGAATAATTTGTAAATTTGCAAACATAATCACGTTAATGATAAAATCACGGATTGTCAAGCACCATCTACGCATTATGCTATGATTTACTTTGACTATGGCTTTTAGCCCTTACAACTACCAACTGACGTAAGTGTTAGCATCTCTATATTACAGATGAGGAAATCGAAATTTAGAGGCGTCTAAAACTCACCTAAGTCACACAGCCGATAAAGGGTAGAGCTTAGATTGTACCTTTCACCGTAGTCTTATTTAGCCTTCCTTGTGATTGCTAAAGAGCCCTGTGAGGTACATAGGGCAAGGTTATAATTATAATTAGTATTATTGTAACTTTACTGTTGAGATGAGGTCAGAGGGGTTAAGTGGTTTGGGCAAGGTCACATAGCTAGGTCTCGTATTCAGGCCTCCTGACACCTCTTTCTACTATTTCATGTTGTTCTCCAATTCCAGATGGCACTCACCAGGATCGTGTTTCTTTCTTTGAAAACTTCTCATCATATTTCCATCATATTCTGGGACCTCCTTACCAACCATGGCTTTTCAAACCAAATGCTAAATGATCCAGTCTATGTTGAACTATTTCTCTTAATTCCCTAGCTGCTGAGGGCATTTAAATTATCCAAATATTAGGACAACTGGGTTTTATCACCATCTGTTTTTATAAAGTCTGAGTTACTTTGAAATTCCTAAAGTTGTTTTCTTTATTTTGCATGCTATTTGAAATGGAATTCAATGTCTCAATTTGGAATCAAGCCCTCTGCTCCTCAGGTCTCTGTGGGAGTCCCTTGGCCAGGTCACCCTCCTTCCCCCACCACCTGTCTATCATCTCTGGTCTTCATGTCTTGTCATGGTTCTTGATAGATACTGAAGCAAGCTTTTGACTGTTTTGAGGTCTCGGTAGCAAGTCTAGTGAGGATGCCCTTTCTGAGTCCTGTAGATAAACTGCTGGACTCTGACCTAGC